GATCGTCAAGGCCCACTGAACAGCTGATCGGCGGGGGGCTGGTGGGTGCTAGTACCCACTATTTTTTCTGTGGATGCTCCAGCCTCAGAGTCAGTGCTTTTGATCAGGATGAAGATAAACTATCACATATATTTTATTTTCTCCTTTTATGTGAGTGGGACAGAGCCCCAGCTGCCATTGTAAAGCTGCTAAGGCTTAAAAATATGGTATCAAGGCAGGGGATGTGCCTAAATGGAAGTAAGGGTTTCTATGTGCAAACACTTTCAGTTTTGATGGGATATATTATTTTTTCTCTTAAAATCCATAATAATATTTGAGGCATTCTGGGACTCCTTAGGCCTGTTTTTTTAGGGTGCTGAATACTTACAGCACACATTGAGTTCAACTGGATTTGTGTGGGTGATTAGCACTTCTGAAAATCCAGTCCAAAATCAGAAGCCACTTTTGAAAATGTTGGCCTTTACCTCTCTATGACCCAGTTTCCAAATCTGAAAAATGGGGATAATGATGTTTATCTTCCATTGTAAAGTGTTTTGAGATCTAAAAAGAAAAATTACTCAAAGTAGAGCTTCCTATTTCCAGGGAAAGGAAAAAAGAAGGCGATTCCATGAAGTTCACTAGGGACCACTGTATGCTATATTATGATAATTTACCTGGGGTAATTTACCTTAGATACTATTGTGAAACAACCCCCTAAGAAAAAGAGTATCTCCTCCCTTCCTTACTAGAAGTGCATGGCAGTTGACCCAAATAAGTTAATACCAAGAATGCAGCTCACGCTTACAGGCTGGTGGATTATATTTTTGAAAGCAGTGATTCTGAAAGGGACTTAGGGTCCTGGTGGATAACCAACTGAACATGCGCTCCCACTGCTATGTGGTGGCAAAGATCAAATGCAATCCTTGGATGTATAAGTAGGACAATTATCAAGTGGAAGTAGGGAATTGTTATTGCTACTTTATACAGAATTACTAACACCATTGCTGGAATACCATGACCAATTCTGATGTCAAAAGCAGTTGACAAATTGGAAAGTGTGCAGAAGAGTTACAGAAATGCTTTGAGGTTGGAAAACTTGCCTCACAGTGAGACATTAAAGAAACTAAGCTATTTAGTGTATCCAAGAGGCGGTTAAGAGATGACTTGATCACAGTCTAGACAAATTCAGCTAGACAAATTCAGATTGCAAATAAGGCATACATTTTTAATAGTGCGGATAATTACTCATTGGAACAATTTACCAAGATTCATGGTAGATTCACGATCACTGGCAGTTTTTAAATCAAGGGTGAATTTTTAAAAAAAGATATGCTCTGGTTCAAAAAGGAATAATTTGGGGAAGTTCTATGGTCTGTATTATACATGATTACAGTGGTCTCTTGTGGCCTTGGAAGTTATGCATCTATGAAAATCTTCTGACTGCTGACAGACAAAAGCACAAGATCCTATGGCTGGAAGCCAAAGCTAGATGAATTCAGATTAGAAATAAGGTACATATTTTTAAAAATGATGGCAATTAACAATTGGAACAACTTGTATTGGTATGTGGTGGATTCTTAGTTACTTGACGTCTTTAAATCAAGACTGGATGTCTTCCTAAAAAAACATGCTGTAGCTCAACCAGAAGTTATGGATTTGATACAGAAATCACTTGGTGAAATTCCATTGCCTGTGTTATGTAGGAAGTCTGATTAGATGATCATAATAGTCCTTTGTGGCCTTAATCTAGTTACCTATCAAATGGGCTATTGAGGGGTTATATTACTGCCTTTTAGGATGAGAATTTTTATTATTGATTGACCATTTGGTAATCTGGATGGTCAACATGAAAGATAAAATGCCCAAATTACTAGATGGTGTTTAACACTCCACCCTTATGGGTACAAATTAATACACCAGCAACAGAAGTGAACATTAAAATGTGGACTTAATGTCTCTGTGTGGGATGGAAAAGGAACCTAAAACTGAGGCAACGGGTTCCTTCTTGATTGGGGAAGTATGTGAATTGTGCCCTCTTTTCAGGCATTAGAAAGAAAAAACTGGGGGAAAACACATCATAAACCGAAGCTATTAATGCTTATAGGATGGGAGAAGGGGAGATGCACCAAGCAGCAGCTAGTAGGAAAATGGCCACTTTTAGGCTCCATTTGCTTGGCTCTATCAAATTTAAAGGGCCAGCTCCAGAAAGACATTCTGGGGAAAATGTTCTGAAGAGAGTTGGTATTGAACAGGCAGTCAGCAAGGAAGGGATTCATAAAGAAAAGACTTGTGTAATGCAACTGTCTCACTAAGGCTGTGCATTGGAGAGTAGTCCAGCAGGGAGGTAGCTGTGCAGCCACATTATGGTGCTGGGAGATGCTGGGGAGCCACTGAGAATTAAGTGGTGTCACCAGAAGAATTAGTGGTGAGATATAGTGGCCTCCACAGTGGCCCAGGAAGCTGGGCCAGCAGTAGCTGAGAAAAAACAGGGAATAAGGGATGAAAGGACCCTGACACAAAGTTACTGGAAGGATTGCACAGTCTGTTGCCCACAAGAGTAGAAGCTTCCATATCACATTAAGCTTGTGCAGTTTGTTTTCAATATTTAGAACTGCCCAAATCAGTACAATGTCACTTAAGCACTGCACAGCAGGCACTGGAAGATTCTGCAAAACATGCAGGAATAAACTGTACACTGTTTAGGAATGGCTACTGTGTAGAAATCTTTTTTTAAAACCTAAAGATTCTACTACTGTCTTTCACAGTTAGGAACATAGGAATTGCCACACTGGGTCAGACCTGAGGTCCATCTAGTCCAGTATCTTGTCTCCAGCCGTAGCCAGCACTTGATGCCTCAGAGGATGGTGTAAGAACCCTATAGTAGGTGGATGTGGGATAATCTACCCCAATATTAGGCCTCATCCTGGTCTTTAGTATTTAGAGAATGGCTTATGCCCTAAAGCATGACATTTTATATCCTTTCCAAAAATTTTATCATTAACTATAATTTTGCTTATTCTTGTTACTCATGTAAATGTCCAATCCCTTTTTGAATATTGCTAAATTCTTAGCCTGAATAACTTCCTGTGGCAATGAATTCCACAGTCTAATTACACATCATGTGAAAAGTATTTCTTTAATCAGTTTTGAATTTGTCACCTTTAACTGCATCAAATGTTCCTTTGTCATGTGTTGTGAGAAAGGGAGAATAGAAGCTCTTGATCTCACTTCTCTATAACATCCATTATTTCATATACTTTTATCATGTCCCCACATCCTAATCCTAAATCCTTTATCTTTTTCAATAGCTCTTCACATGAGAATTTTTCTATGCTCCTGAATCATCCTTTTCACTCTTGCTCGAACTCTCGCTAATATCCTTTTTGAGGTGGTGTGACCAGTAGTTCCACACAATATTACAGATGAGGTAATACAGTTCTTTCTGAGGAACTGTCCCCGATTGAGGTGTCATTGGAGGAGGTTTGGGAACAAATTGATAAACTAAACAGTAATATGTCACCAGGATCAGAGGGTATTTACCTAAGAGTTCTGAAGGAACTCAAATGTGAAATTGCAGAACTACTAACTGTAGTCTTTAACCTATCATTTAAATCAGCTTCTGTACCAAATGACTGGAGGATAGCTAATGTGAAGCCAATTTTTAAGAAGGGGCTCCAGAGGTGATCCTGGCAATTACAGGCCGGTAAGCCTGACTTCAGTACTGGACAAAGTGGTTGAAACTATAGTAAAGAACAAAATTGTCAGACATATAGATGAACATCATTTGTTGGGGAACAGTCAACATGGTTTTTGGTGAGGCAATCTTTACAATCTGCTAGAATTCTTTGAAGGGGTCAACAAGCATGTGGACAAGGGGGATCCAGTGGTGCTTAGATTTTCAGAAAGCCTTTGACAAGGTCCCTCACCAAAGACTCTTTAGCAAAGTAAGCTGTCATGGGATATGAGGGAAGGTCCTCTCCTGGATTGGTTAAAAGATAGGAAACAAAGGGTAGGAATAAATGGTCAGTTTTCAGAATGGTGAGAAGTAAATAGTGGTGTCCTCCAGGAATCTGTACTGGGGGGCCAGTCCTATTCAACATATTCAGAAATGATCTGGAAAAAAAGGGTAAATAGTGAGGTGGCAAAATTTGCAGATGATACAAAACTACTCAAGATAGTTAAGTCCCAGGCAAACTGCAAAGAGCTACAAAAGGTTTTCACAAAACTGGGTGACTGGGCAACAATATGGCAAATGAAATTCAATGTTGATAAATGCAAAGTAATGCACATTGGAAAACATAATCTGAGCTATACCTATAAAATGATGGGGTCTAAATAAGCTGTTACCATTCAAGAAAGATATCTTGGAGTCATTGTGGATAGTTCTCTGAAAACATCCACTCAATGTGCAGCAGCAGTCAAAAAAGTGAACAGAATGTTGGGTATCATTAAGAAAGGGATAGATAATAAGACAAAATATCATATTGCCGCTATATAAATCCATGGTACGCCCACATCTTCAATACTGCGTGCAGATGTGGTCGCCCCATCTCAAAAAAGATATATTGGAATTGGAAAAGGTTCAGAAAAGGGCAACAAAAGTGATTAGGGGTATGGAATGGCTTCCATATGAGGAGAGATTAATAAGACTGGGACTTTTCAGCTTGTAAAAGAGACAACTAAGGGGGGATGTAATAGAGGTCTATAAAATCGTGACTGGTGTGGAGAAAGTAAATAAGGAAATGTTATTTACTCCTTCTCATAACACAAGAACTCGGGGTCACCAAATGAAATGAATAGGCAGCAGGTTTAAAACAAAAAAAGGAAGTATTTCTTCACACAACGCATAGTCAACCTGTGGAACTCTTTGCCAGAGGATGTTGTGAAGGCCAAGACTATAACCAGGTTCAAAAAAGAACCAGATAAGTTCATGGAGAATAGGTCCATCAATGGCTATTAGCCAGGATGGGCAGGGATGGTGTCCCTAGCCTCTGTTGCCAGAAGCTGGGAATGAGCAACAGGGAATGGATCACTTGATGATTACCTGTTTATTCCCTCTGGAGCACCTGGCATTGAAGACAGGATACTGGGCTAGATGGACCTTTGGTCTGACCCAGTATGGCCGTTCTTATGTTAAACAAACTAGGTGAATGATCAACATGATGGCAAATTAAATTCAGTGTCAACAAATGCAGATTGAGTTGTTTACATTTTCCCCTCCATACACCTTACAGGGTTCTAAATTAACTGTATGTACTCAGGAAAGGTACCCTGGCTACCCTGGCATTACTGTGGACAGCTCTGCTCATCAATGTGCAGCTGCAATCGAAAAAGCAAATAAGATTTTAAGATACATAAGGAGTGGGATGGGATAGACAATAAGACGGAGAATATTGTAATTAGGATGACCAGACAGCAAGTGTGAAAAATCGGGACAGGAGGTGGGGGGTAATAGGTGCCTATATAAGAAAAAGCCCCCAAAATCGGGACTGTTCCTATAAAATTGGGACATCTGGTCACCCTAATTGTACCGTCCCGATATTTAAGTGTTTGTCCCGATATTTCGCTCCGCCAGCAGCACTGGTGTTCGTTTTTGTTTTGTTTTTTTGCTCCGCCGGCGGACCCCTCCCCCTACCAAGAATTCATTTACGTTCTTTGCAATGGCCTTATCTTCCTTGAGTGCTCCTTTAGCATCTTAATTATCCAGTGGCCCCACTGGTTGTTTAGCAGGCTTCCTGCTTCTGATGGTCTGGGGGGGGAAATTGCCATTACTTTTTGAGTCTTTGGCTAGCTGTTCTTCAAATTCGTTTTTAGCCTTCCTAATTTTATTTTTACACCTCATTTGCCAGAGTTTATGCTCCTTTCTATTTTCCTCACTAGGATTTAACTTCCACTTTTTAAAGGATGCCTTTTTGCCTCTTGCTGCTTCTTTTACTTTGTTGTTTAGCCACGGTGGCACTTTTTTGGTTCTCTCATTATGTTTTTAAATTTGGGGTATACATTTAAGTTAAGCCTCTATTATGGTGTCTTTAAAACGTTTCCATGCAGCTTGCAGGGATTTCACTTTTGGCATTGTACCTTTTAATTTCTGTTTCACTAATCTCCTCATTTTTGTGTAGTTCCCCTTTCTGAAATTAAATGTTACAGTGTTGGGTTGCTGTGGTGTTTTCCCCGCCACAGGGATGTTAAATTTAATTATATTATGGTCACTATTACCAAGGGGTCCAGCTATATTCACCTCTTGGACCAGACCCTGTGCTCCACTTAGGACTAAATCAAGAATTTCCTCTCCTCTTGTGCGTTTCAGGGCTAACTGCTCCAAGAAGCAGTCATTTAAGATGTCAAGAAACTTTATCTCTACATCCCGTCCTGAGGTGACATGTACCCAGTCAATATAGGGATAGTTGAAATCCCCCATTATTATTGAGTTTTTTTATTTTAATAGCCTCTCTAATCTCCCTGAGCATTTCACAGTTACTATCTCCATCCTGGTCAGGTGGTCGGTAATATATCCCTACTGCTATATTCTTATTATTAGAGCAAGGAATGACTATCCATAGAGATTCTATGGTACAGTTTGGTTCATTTAAGATTTTTACTTCATTTGATTCTACGCTTTCTTTCACATATATTGCCACTGCCCCACCAACACGATCTGTTCTGTCCTGCCGATATATTTTGTACCCTGGTATTACTGTGTCCCATTGAAATTATCGTAATTCAACCAAGTTTCTTTAATGCCTATTATATCAATATCCTCATTTAACATGAGGCACTCTAGTTCACGCATCTTATTATTTAGACTTCTGCCACTGGTATATAAGCACTTTAAAAACTTGTCACTTTTTAGCTGTTTGAAATTACATGATGTAATTGAATGGGACTTTTTTCATTTGACTGTTTCTCATCAGATCCTACCTGTATTTTATCATCTTCCATCCTCTCCTCCTTATTAGGACATAGAGAATCTCCATGAATAGATTCTCCCCTAAGGTATGTCTCTGTTCAAACTACGGGCTCCTCTGTACCTGTCGGCTTTCCGCCAGCCCTTAGTTTAAAAACTGCTCTATGACCTTTTAAATTTTAAGTGCCAGCAGTCTGGTTCCATTTTGGTTTAGGTGGAGCCCATCCTTCCTGCATAGGCTCACCTTTCCCCAAAATGTCCCCAGTTCCTAATAAATCTAAACCCCTCCTCCGTACACCATCGTCTCATCTATGCATTGAGACTCTGCAATTTTGCCTGTCTACCTGGCCCTGCGAAATTGACCTAGTGGAATGACCTAGTGAAGTGCATGCAGAGTCCAGATGGAGGCAAGAGGTTGAGCCCCTGGCACAGTGAGTAATGTAACTGGAGACCCATTTGGAAATCTTTGAGCCGATATTGTGGAACCTTTGGATCTTTCTGTAGCCAATGATTTTAGTTTATTATCCATTTACTGTGTGATGTTAAGATTAATCAATATGTGTTATTACATATATTCATTGTATGTTATTTAGAATTAATGTATAGGATTATAAAAGTATAAGATTGATCAGTATTTTATCAGAACCAAGCTAAATTCCCTCTAAGCTGCATGGCCGCACAGCAGCCTATTAAGCGCCGCGCAGGCGCTCAGGGCTGCAGTGAGGAGAGATGCCTCCCCACCAGCCCCGTACCTGCTGCGGCGCCCCTCCCGGCCCTGACAGTACCGGGCATATAATGGCACTGGGCCCACACTCAGCAGGGGCCCTGCAGCCCGGCCTGGCACTCCACTTCACTGGACTCCTCTCTGGACCCTGCCCCACGCTCCTATGGGCCCGCCGGCCCAGGGCTCCTCTTAACCTCCCTCCCCCCGCTCCTCTCTCTGCCTCACCAGCAGGCAGGAGCCACTGGCTGCCTGCCCGGGGTGGGGAGGCAGGCAAAAAGGAGCCCACATCTGCTGCCATTCCTCCAGACCACTGGTGAGGGACAGTCTGCCGCTTTGGGCTTCCCTGGGGAGCCCGAAGCAGCGGACCATCGCTGGCGACCCAGACTGCGGACAGAACTGCCATGGCCCAGGGGGAGAGGTGCCCCAACCCCGGCCCCAACCCAGCCAACCTCCTGGACCTGCCACGAATGGGGGGAGAGGCAGTCCAGCCCAGCCCCCCGGTCCCTGGACCTGCTGTGAACGGGGGAAGAGGCGACCCACCCCTGGCCCCAACCCAGCCCAGCCCCCCAGTCCCTGGACCTGCTGCAGACAGGGAAGAGGCGCCCCAACCCAACCCAGCCCAGAAGCTGCCGGGGCAGCCTGCACCCCAAACTCCTCATCCCAGCCTGCACTCCCAGAAGGAGCCCATACCCCCCTCCTACACCCCACCCCTCTGCCCCAGCCCTGAGCCCCTCCCTCACTCCAAACCCCTCGGTCCCACCCCCGCCTCATGAATTTTGTTATGTGCACCAATATGGAGGTGATGTGTCACAAAATTCTTTCTGCACATGTGTGGGAAAAATTAGAGGGAACACTGGAACCAAGTATTAGGCTGTAGGCTGATGCCTGCAAGACTTTAGCTTAGCTATTTTAGGCCTTGGAGAAAAGAAACGATGACTTAAGCTAATGACCGAGAAATAACCCTAAGATTATGGGCAAAGAGGTGCCAAGGGGTAATATTGCGCAAAATTATCCAGAAGATTAATATTAGATCATAAAAATACTGTAAAGGTGTATCTGTCTCAGATGTGTGCTAGTGAGAATAAAGGAACATTATAGAAAACTGGGGGTCCCTTAAGTTTCCAGGAGACACAGACCAATAAGAGAAAAGGGGGTTGACACTTTTATGGACATGTGCAGAATGTTATAATGTCACATTATAAAAAGGGGATGCCCAGAATGGGAAAATTGAGCTCCCTATGGGAGACTCCAGCAGGAACCATCCCTCTACTGATGATCAAGCCTTGAGAGACCCATCAGACCCTAACACTATTGTTAACAGGGCCGGCTCCAGCTTCTTTGCTGCCCCAAGCGGCAAAGCAAAAAAAAAGAAGAAAAAAAAGATAAAGCCGCAATCGGTGGCACTTCGGCGGCAGCTCTACCACACCGCTTCATTCCTTGGCGGCAATTCGGCGACTGTGGGATCAGCCGCCGAATTGCCACCGAAGACCCGGACGTGCCGCCCCTTTTCATTGGCCGCCCCAAGCACCTGCTTGGTTTGCTGGTGCCTGGAGCCGGCCCTGATTGTTAAGGATGTGAGTATAACTATATTTGTAATTTGTGCATAGGTCTGTATAAAATTTCTGTATGCTTGGGTAATCATAACTTTAATTTGTTGGGGAGGTTTAGGTTGGATATTAGGAAAAACTTTTTCACTAGGAGGGTGGTGAAGCACTGGAATGGGTTACCTAGGGAGGTGGTGGAATCTCCTTCCTTAGAGGTTTTTAAGGTCAGGCTTGACAAAGCCCTTGCTGGGATGATTTAGTTGGGAATTGGTCTTGCTTTGAGCAGGGGGTTGGACTAGATGACCTCCTGAGGTCCCTTCCAAACCTGATATCCTATGATTCCTATGATCCTATCCTAATTGTAACTTTAATCAAACTTGTAAAATAGACTCGACTTTGCACTGGTGATTGTATGTGTGGTCACACTACCCTTAGTCTTTATGTGTTCATAGAGACTCTAACTCTGAAGCAAGTAGCAGAGGTGACTTTCACTCTGTTAAGCTTGAAACTGTATCTGCCAGAGCTGAACCCATGGTGGTGTAATACCACATTACAAAATTCACTTTAAATAAAATAAAAGGCTACCTTTCCATGAACAAAAGATTTTAGGAGACTTCCTAAAGTCCTTAGTCCTGTCCAAGTAGAATGCTAGCATTTTTCTAACATCTAGCATATGCAGAATCGCTTCCCTGTTATCATGATGAGGTTTTGGGAAAAAACAGGAAGATGGATTTTTGATTCATATGAAAAACAGAAGCTACTTTTTAGGGAGAAACTTGTGATGCGGCGTAAATGTTACTTTTTCTTTAAAAAAGACTGTGAGTGGCCGGTGTGCCATCAGGGCTGCTATTTCTCCTATGCGCCTAGCTGAGGTGATGGCAACCAGAAATGCTGTCTTCATTGACAGGTGTGAAAGAGAGTAAGTCATCATGGGGTCAAAGGGAGGCTAGTCAAGGCTCTGAGAACTAGATTAAGATCCAAGGTTGGAGTGGGTGGTCTCACCTGCAGGAACAGGTTTCCAATGCCCTTATGTGTCAGCGGGTGAGTGAACACTGAGTATCCATCTACTTGATAGTGGAAGGCCATTATGAGTGCTAGATGTACTTTAAGGCAGCTGAGAGAGAGTTCTGATTTTTTGAGGTCTAAAATGTAGTCTAAAATCAGAGGGAGGGAAGATGATGTCAGGTCTATGTACTTAGAATGACACCAAATTTGGAATTGTTTCCATTTTTGCAGGTAAGTATGCTGAGTGGTCGATTTTGGCTGTGTAGAAACACCTTGTCAGAGCATACTACCTCTAAGTATTGGAACCAAGAAGGATTCAAGCCTAGAGACGGAAGATCCACAAGTTGGGGTAAAGGATCAGTCTGTAGTTTTGAGAAAGTCATTTTGAAAATGGGCCGAAGACAGACCAGAGGACATACTGCCATCTATGCCAGGTAAGGGAACCAACCTTACCTTGGCCAGGAGGGGGCAATCAAAATAACTCTTGCTTTGTCTCATTGTATTGTCAACAGGACCTTGGATAGTAAAGAAAATGGGGGAAAGGTGTATAAAAAGTGGGGAATGGGAGAATGAGGGCATCGCCCAGAGACTGTTTCCACAGGCCTGTCTTGGAGTTGTAGCGAGGACATTTCTTGTTCCAGTAAGTAGTGAAGAGCTCTATAGTCAGGGTTCCCCAAAAGGCAAATATGTCGTGAAGCACCTCTGAATTTAGTTCCCATTCGTGGTCATGTGAAAAGTTCTGACTGAGACTGTTGGCTGTCATGTTCTGTATGCCTGGTAGGTAGACGGCTTAGATGAGCATGTTGTGATGGTTGCACCAATTCCAAAATTTGAGTGCTTCTGTACAGAGGGAGTGAGATCCGAAGCCTCCCTGGCGATTTATGTAAAACATACAGGTCATATTGTCTATCATGACCTTTGTATGGATGTTCTTGATGAATGGGAAAAAGTGTGCACAGGCATTCCTGACAACCCTTAATGCTCCCAGCCTATTAGGGAGGCATCCTTCATCAGAGTCGGTGATGGTTGTACGAACAGAACACCTGATCGGACATTGGATGGGTCTTTCCACTAGTCCAGGGAGTGCTTTACAGTGCAATGATAGTGGTTTGCTTAGTCTGTCCTTGTTTGGGGAATAGAGAGATCTGAGCCACATCTGCAGACACCTCATGAACAACCAAGCGTGTGGCGTGATGAAGGTGCATGCTGCCATATGACCAAGCAGCTGTAGACAATTCCTGGCCGATGTTTGTGGACTGGCCTGGACTGTCTCGATGAGACTTGTGAGGGTGGTGAACCTGTACAGCAGGAGGAATGCTCTCACTTGTACTGTGTCAAGTTCAGCACCAATAAACTCCAGTCGCTGTACTTGGGTGAGTGCTGATTTCTGGGTGTTGAGCTGTAGGCCCAGTTGCGAAAATGTGCGCATGGTCGTCTGAGTGGCTTGTATGGCATCCTTAAATGAGGGAGCCCTGAGGAGGCAGTCGTCAAGGTATGGGTATATAACAATGCCTAATGTTTGCAGGTGTGCTGCTATGACAGAGAGAACCTTGGAGAATACCCTGGGTGCAGATGAGAAGCCGAATGGGAGCATCCTGTATTAATAATGGTTCTGGCCAAAGGTGAACCGTAGGAACTTCCTGTGTGACAGTTGTATCGAGATGTGGAAGTAGGCATCTTATAGGTCCAAGGCTAGAAACCAATCTCTTTGCTCTATAGCTGTGCACATATCTGTTTAATGCCCTTAGATCTAGAATGGGCCTCCAACTTCTTCATCTTGGGGATCAGGAAATAATGTGAGTAAAACCCCTTGCCTCAGGACTGATTCTCTGGTCCCTAAACATAACATATGATCTGTTTTCTGGAAAAGTAGGTTCTCATGAGAAGAGTCCCTAAAAAGGGACAGGGAAGGAGGGTGGCTATGGGGGAGGGATGCGAATTGAATGGCATAACAATTCAAAATAATCTTCAAGATCCATCTGTCGGAGGTGATATTCTGCCAACCGCTGAGAAAGATGGTCAGGTGACTTCCGAAGAGCCGTGACAGGTGCATAGATGGCAGTTGATGTTCCAAAGAACAGCTGTTTGAGACCGTGACAAACCCATCAAAGGTGCTTAGGGAAGGAGGGCTGGGAGGTCATGGACTGGGGGGCTAATTGCTTCCATTTTTGTACCCTAGATCTTTTACGTTGTGACTCGTAAGAGCGCTGTGATGGTGGGTACTGAGGTGGTCGTGAACTGTGCTGCGGTTGAGAGCCATATTTTCTCTTTTGTCCAGCAGTATAGATTCCCAGAGATCATAGCATGGCCTGGGAATCCTTCAGAGTATGAAGAGAGGTGTCAGTCTTATCAGCGAAGAGCTTGGGGCCTTTGAACGGGAGGTTCTCAACCATTGGCTGTACTTTTTTGGGCAACTTGGAAAGCTGTAATCAGGATGCCCATCTCATTACCACTGCTGTGGAGACTGAGTGGGCTGTTGTATCTGCTGCGTCCAATGCCATCTGTAGCGCAGTTCTGGCTACTAACTGGTCCTCTTTGGAAATGGCCTGAAACTCTTCTTTTTGCATCTCTGGTAGATGTTTATTTTTTGTAACTGAGAAAAACAGAAAGTCTAGACTACTATATGCCCCTGTGGGGGCAATCCCCCCAGAAAGGGGAGGGGGACCTTTAAAAAAGTTCTTTTTAAAAAATCCCAACAGGGTAAACAGAAACTATTAAAGACAACAAAAAGACTAAAAATAACTACTACTTAAACTAATGATGCAGAGAAGGAAGAGTCAACTTCTCGCTCCGTTTGAGGCCAAAGGCGGTTGAGAAGGAACTGGGGACGATTCACATGCGCAGCACTAGATAGACTCAAGGCAAACAACGGGTGAGGGAGAGTGCATGTGCGGGCCGAATGGACACTGCTACCTAAAATCTCTGATTAGAGGCTCGGGGCACAGATACACCTACAGTGGAGCACCCATAGGGACACTACTCAAAGAAGAAGTCTTGAATATGCAGCTAGGCCTGGTGACTTACTGCTTTATAAATTATCAATTTGCTTCAGGACCATCATCTTCTGACACCTCAATCGCTGCTATCATCTCATCGTTATTACCAGAAATAATTAACTAAATCAGAAAGTTAAGAAGTAAAGAAGTCTAAGTGTATTTACAGTGAATCAATACTATAAAATACAGGTATATTTCCACTGACGGTTTAGCGGTTTACTCTACTCTTGAACACTTGCTAAGTATATTATTCTCTTGCAACCCTTCTGAAAATTATTTAGTTTTTGTTTTAGGTGTGTAGTCAGTTATCAATTACGGATTACTATTACCTGTTGGCAGAAAAGCTGAGTACCTTTAATCTACAGTATAAATCAAGAACACTAAATCTTAACAGATATTTTTCTCTGTTCATTGAGAGAGTTTTTTTAAAAACATTATATTACAAAGGCTAAATTATGTTTGTGTAATTCCTGTGAATTCCATTAGAAAGCAGATATGCACTGGGGTATAGTAAGATGGCAACTATGGTCTTCATTCATTCCTGCATAGTTTCTACAACACTTAAGCCTATGTTTATTTCATACCTGTCTATCCCATAAATGTAGACGACTGAAAACATCTCGCAAAAAGCAATTATCAGCAAGGGAATGGATCCGGCAAAACTGTCAAATAGTGCCAGCCAGTAGTTACCAGAATTCAGCACAAAAATAAAGGCAAGCAAATAAGACCCTGCACAAATCAAACCTGTAAATAAAGAGCAAAGTCAAATATTTTAGGCATAGAGTAAAGCATAAAAACTAGTAAGAAATGTCAGATACTTAACTGTTCACTTCTAACTAATTTTAAGACTGAAGACAATTCCAAATTTCTTTAAAGATAAGAGATACTGAAGAGCCATACAATACCTACCTGTAACAAGTTCCTTAGGCCATTTTTTGGGTACGATATTAAGATCTTGCAAAGGTACAAGAACACCTTCCATGTTTCCAAACATAGATGACAAGCCTAAGCAGAACAGCATGATAAAGAAGAGAATGGACCACAAAGGTGAGACAGGCATTTTGGTGATGGCTTCAGTGAAGACTATAAAAGCCAAGCCAGTTCCTTCAACTCCCTGTAGAGAAATGACAGCAGACTCAAAACTTAGGAGCACTGACACTATTTAGCATTTAAAAATACTTCCATGTATACCGTAGATGGTAATGAATTATACTGTACTATAGTTATACTTTTCTATTTATTTTCATAAATCAACCCTAATTCTGCATTATATTTACTGTAACATATATAAAGTATATTACTGAGATAATGTTTCCGGAATGGACAATAACATAAAATATAATCAAACTATGTAACCAATTTTTTCCCTATAGTTTCCTCCTTATGACTGTCCCACAATTGTGCCATGAATAGAATGCTCACTGAAATCACTGGGAGTTGTGGTCGAAAAGGACTTCAGTAATAAGCCACTGTGCAGATGGAGGCATTATATCAGATTATAACAAGCCCAACAAGCTAATTTAGATGGAGGCAGTCTTTAGAAGTACTCTTTTTGTGAACTCACGTTTTCATAGAACAACATCAATCCCAAACAGAGCATCACTATAACTAGAAGTGCAGTTTACACATTGCAATTCAGTAAGACAGTTTGAGTTATGCTCTGAAACCACTCCTATTTCAGGGCAATAAACCCAAATACAAACTTTTAAAAATATCCACAGTTTTTTAGTATATGTTAAATGTTATTTAGTTTGCAAAGTCAAGCACTCAAAAGCTTGAAAATACCAGATTTACAAATGCAAGAGCAATCTTGATTTCCCCAATTTGTGCATCCATCCTGTGCACTGAATAAGGAAAATATAGTATGTGAAAATCCTGTCGAAAATATAGTATGTGATCATGTAATTAAAGACAGTATCCTAATGCATATACACAAAGGGTCTAAATTAAGATGTCCAGGGAACTGTAAATCTGACATTCCCTAACTTTTGAGTGCTTGTCTTTTACAACCTAAATAGTTACCTCAAAGTAGTTTTTTTCATATGTATTTTCCTAACTTTTCTAAAAGAGAAAGGTAAAAATAAAATTCTGTTATATACAACTGTAACAACCCCTTCCCACCAACCAATCATCAGCAGGGTTTGAAACCTAAACCTTTAGCATGGCAGCACTGGCTGCAACTAACTGAATTACAGAGTTAGCTGGCAGCAGGAGAAGGTTGTTGTCCCGGAGTGGGGCTGGATGGGTCCAGGGTTGGCTGGGGTTGGTTGGAGTGGGGAACTTGGCCCAATTCTCTCTCCTCACCTTGGGAGCTGAGGGAAATCCTGCCCCACATTGTTCCCCAGAGGGAGATATGGGCCATGTTTTGGGTCCAGGCTGGGAATCCAGCCTTTCTTTCTTTTCTCCCACTATTGCTGCTCTGGCAGCTCCTAGGCTTTTCCAGTGTGGTGTTGTCTGCCACCACTTTGACAGTACAGTGAACCTGGGCTTAGAATATTTGTGGGTTTAGTTATTATTCTGGCTGGCTGCCAAAAGTTTCCTGAGGAATGAAAGTGAGAGGAGGGAAATGTCAATGTTTAACAGTTTATAGCTCAGCAAAAGGTGAATGGATTTTCATGGGCCAAAGGGCCCTAGTCCAAGGGCATTCCTTCTACCAAATATCAAAAGCATGCTGTAAATGGAGTAGATGTAAAAGTATCTCATAGAAAAGGTTGCAAGAATCCTTTATAATGGAAAGCGTTAAGAAACTTAAATAAGGGTTGTTACCAGCTCACCCTGTAGTAATTCTACAGATTCCATCTATAGTGTCAACTTACATCAGTTAAGAAACTTTCGAGGTTACAGGTCTCAAACTTAAGGCCTACAAAAGTCACTGAATCAGTCATGTTACACCACTTCTGCATCTGTTCAAAGTTTTCCTGGGTTACATTACCTTCTGGCAAATCGAAAGCATTTGTCAGGGTAAGAATATTTCTGTAGAAGTGAAATATAATTGGAAATTAATGTTTGTATATAACCAACCTAAGATTTCATATTCATCATCAAATAAATTATCATTAATTCCATGTCTCATTGTCATAAAGAAGACACAATAAAGAAAGGTGTTGTATTTGTCTAGTTGTCTGTGTACAGGACTGAGAGCCAGGAAGCTCACTGAGTTTTGCAGGTACAAATTCCAACTGACAGTGCTTCAAGGACATCACTGTCAGATCAGGATGAAACCAGGGGTAGAAAACCAACCCAGGAAGCTGGCAAGTGCACAGCTGCAGTCAGGCTGGAAGAGTAGTCCAGATTCAGTGAAGAAGCCCTGACCAGCACGATGACCATGTGAACAGACATACTGATCACCATCCTCTTTGTAAGATCCCTTAACATGTTGAAGACTGTTTTCAGGTATCCTCTCATTCTGCTTTTCTCAAGCCTAAACATGCTCAGTATTTTTGACTTTTCCTCATAGTTCAGGTTTTCTAAATCTTTATCATTTTTGTTGCTCTCCTCCAATTTGTCCACATCTTTCCTAAACTGTGGTGCTCAGAACTGGATGCAGTGCTCCAGCTGAGGCCTCACCAGTATTGAGTAGAGTGAGACAATTACCTCCAATGTCTTACACACAACATTCCTGTTAATATACTTCAAAATGATACTTCACAATTGCATCACGCTATTGACTCTCATTCAGTCTGTGATCCACTATAACCCGCAGATTCTTTTCATATGTATGACTTCTCATAGGACAGAGGTGGGCAAACTACGGCCTGCGGGCCACATCCAGCCTGTGGGACCGTCCTGCCCAGCCCCCGAGCTCCTGGCCCGGGAGGCTCGCCTCTGGCCCCTCCCATGCTGTCCCCTCTCCCCCGCAGCCTCAGCTCACTCGCTCCGCCCCCAGCGCAATGCTCTGGGCGGCGGGGCTGTGAGCTCCTGGGGCAGCACAGCTGCAGAGCCCAGCCTGACCCAGAGCTCTGAGCTGCGTGGTGGTGGCGGCGGCTTCAGGCAGCGTGGTAAGGGGGCAGGGAGCAGGGGGGATTGGATAGAGGGCAGGGGAGTTCGGGGCGGTGGTCAGGGGGCAGAGGTGTGGATAGGGGTCGGGCGGTCGGGGCGAGACAGGGGGTTGAATGGGGGCAGGGGTCCCGGTGGGGCAGTCAGGAAGGAGAGGGGGTTGGATGGGGTAGTGGGGGGCAGTCAGGGGCAGGCGTTCCAAGGGCAGCCAGGGGACAGGGAGAGGGGAGATGATTCTCACCTTTTTCTACACACATCGCATCATTGCCCAGCTCAACTACTCAGTCTGGCTACTTGGCTGAGGATGTGCCCCAAAGTGCACATACAATTGTTTGCTCCTGCAAAGAACTCGTACTGGTATGTGCATACTCAATTCTGCACACAGACATCTGGAGACCTGGGGCTGAAAATCTGCCCCTAAATTATGATAAAGAAAAATTCTCTAAATCCTGCTCAAATAAACCAAACAAAAATTACTCACTTCTTCCCACTTGGGTCATGTAGAAGTGTATAATAGGGTATACCAGCTATTCTTGCATTTATTATGCAGACATTTTGGGTCAAATAAGAATTTTAATTACTCTTTTTAAATACTTACTGGTAATAGTGAATATAAAGATATTCAAAATTATGTTAACTTTTACAATTAAAGAAATTACTTTCATAAATAGATATTAGCAGAACTGGTTCCACAAAATAGTTGGGACATATTCATTGCTGGTGTGAGCTTTAGAGATAGTTGGATGTGGACTTCAAAAAAAAAAAAAAACTGTCTAAATCTTCCATGGAAAAGTTCAAATTTTCTTTCAAAAAATCAAAAACTGAAATTCTACAATTCAGAAATTATGCCAGGGCCTCATGAGAGTTGTAGTTATGGTTTCTCATGCTACCATTTGCCTTTATAACCTGGGTTCTATGGATGGATTATATCTCCTGTGATGCAGCATGGTCTCACCTCACAGTGAAGAGAAATGGTTGCATCATGGGAGTCCCCAGCTTTGGTGCATCATGGGAGATATAGTCCAGCTGAGGAGCCTAGTTTATACAGGAGAATGGGGACATGAGGAAACCAAACTACAACTCTCATGACAAACCATAGCAGGATATCTGAATCAAAATATCTTGGGTTTTGGCTAACTTATTTTTGGTTTTCAGGCATTTAGTTTTTTGTTAAAAAAAAATAAATAAAAATTCAGTGGAAAATTCAGTGGAAAACAATTCCTTTTCACATACACACACACAAAAAAAGGTTTGGTGGAAAACCCAATTTTCTGCAAAAATATTTTCACTGAAATAGTTGATCAGCCCTAGTAAGCATACACAGTTCTGCTGAATTCAGTGGTTTATGCCTGATTATGCTAGTGGTAAATTGTCTCATTACATGTAAAACTATAGTTATTTCAGTATTCATGGGTAGTGGTGGATATTTTGCCAATTTGATCTACCTCTGTGCCAATGGGAATTGCCTCCTTAATAGCTATTTCTGAAAGAACTATATTGACAAAATTGTCTCACAAAATGGAATATCAATGACTGAATGGTTTTAACTCTCTAAAACATCACTGTTCAGAACCTTCCAAGGATAGGGTGCCTATAGGTGGAAAAGGAGGACAGGTCAAACAACTGCCACTCATTATGGTACCATCATTTTGCTTTATTTACTTTTCATTTACAATTAAATAAACACATCTTAGAAAATCAGATGATCAAAAGTTATTGATCTTGCACATGATCATGATTTTTTTTTTAAGTTACAGTCAGCAATATGGGACCAGATCCTGTAACTGGTCCATAGGGCTCCTTGTGCAAGCAAGTGAATAACATGAATAACAGAATAATTCTAACTGAACTAATGGTGTGGAAAGTCAGGCTGCTTCCACTCATGCTAAACAAAAGTCTGTGTAATTAGGTTTTATTACAATTTACCTGCCGAAACAATCATCATATCTCTCTGTTGCCCTGAACCCAATGATGGAGTATATGACAGTTGCTGCATAAATGGATGTGAAACCATTGATTATAGAGATAATCACAGCATCTTTCTCACAGTTGTTGCTGTAAAGCAAAAGACCGAAACATCAATGAATTTTCGCCAGTGTATATATATAATATTAAAAATTGGTTATTGGGATTATCACAGGATCAGGACACTAATTTATATGTATATAAAAAGTTTTCTGAGAGTTTAGAAACAAATCTGTTAACTAAGTTGAGATAAACTTAATTAAAAACTGTATTATTAAAAACTTTAACATTGCTCAGTCATTTTTGTCTTTAATTAGATTGAAGGAATAACACAGCTACATCAAATTTTCAATACAGTTAAAATTAATCAATCACGTGCAAAAGTTATACTTGAAGAAATAAAGTTGTAATTAAGCTAAATTATTAATGCGTTAGAGGATGAATTAGAATAAGAATATAAGAACGGCCATACTGGGTCAGACCAAAGCTCCACCTAGCTCAGTGTCCTGTCTTCCGATAGCGGCCAATGCCAGTTGCCCCAGATGGAAAGAACAGAACAGATAATCATCAAGTGTCACCCGTTCCCAGCTTCTGGCAAACAGAGGCTAGGGACACCATCCTGGCAAATAGCCATCAATGGACCTATATCCAACATGAACTTATCTAGTTCTTTTTTGAACCCTGTTACAGTCTTGGACTTCATAACATCCTCTGGCAAAGAGTTCCACAGGTTGCCTGTGCATTGTGTGAAGAAATACTTCCTTTTGTTTGTTTTTAACCTGTTTCCCATTAATTTCATTTGGTGACCCCTAGTTCTTGTGTTATGTTAATATAAGAATATAGAATGTAAGAGTATCACTTGCAAGATGGTTTTGTTGGGGGAAGGGGAAAGGATAGGAATAATGTGACTTTTCCTAATCACTGTGACAGAGTGTCAGCCCTAGTGACCAGTTTATATTTTACCCCTTACAAATCATGAACTCTTGCATAGCTTATATTTGTTTTAAGGTTTTCTATACAATAAAAAAGGCTAGAAACTTTTTTTTTTTAAATTATCCTTGACTTGTATCTATCCCCCAAAATCATGGGGGCTCTGCATCTAGAGGCCCTGAGGGCCCCAAATGCCAGTTATCTGCGTGTGTAAATTAAAGCTATCTCTGGCACAAAGAGCACACCTACATTTTTGAGGTGTATTTCACCTGTATTTGAAAACTTCACCTTGGATGAGAGATACTCACAACGATCATGAAACAATGAGAAGTTCTGTGCATTCACATCCAGAATAGTGTGCTCAAATAAGGCAAGATGCATATATCTGCACTGTGACAGATATTGCAACCCTATGCAATATCTTTGGGGACCATATTGTATTAAGTTTACATATCACGGTGGGCCATAAATTATATGCAACTCCAAGGAAGAGGGGTATCACAGCTCCTCCATGAACCAAAACAGTGGGGAGTGATTAAAGTGAATCACTTTGTAAACACCTCCAGAGAGGTATCACTCCCTGGGAGGCTTGCATATTCTGGTTCAAACTCGGTTTCCCAGAGACCAAGAGACAAAGAAAGGGATTTTTAATATAAAAAGACTGTGTTTAAACTGACTCAGGAACTACTTTCTCATCCAGAAAACATAATAAGTTTAGTGTGTTTAAATCTGTTTATTGTTGTTGTTATATTTTCTCTGTATGCTTTTACTTTAAGAATAAATGTTCTTGCTGAGAAAAAGCTGTGAGGTAACCTGTAACTGCTGGCAGTACACAGTTCATAGCCCTTGGAGAGAAAGCAACATACAGGCACTGGTCGTTAGGAAGACTGGCTTGCTGGGGATATCATAGGGAGCTGAGCCACCTTAAAATGTCCTGATCAGAAGGGAGTGGGACAAGGATCCCTGACTAGAGACAGAGACCTGAGAACCTGACTAGGCACTCCTGGTGTGGACCATGGAGGGGTGGATACAGATGCAGTACCCTGAAACTGTGACACACACATTACATACATTCATAAAGTTTAAGGCCAGAAGAGACTATTAAGTTATCTAGTGTGAACTTCTATGTCTCACCTGCCACTAAATTTCATCCAGTTACCCCTATATTAAACACATTACATTTTGTATAATGAGAATCCCATAGCAAATGGGCACAACTGATATTTGGTTACAAAGTGCCTGTAACTTTCTGGTTAGCATAACTCAGACCCCAACTCCATCCATTTATCATAATTTCTATTGACTTCATAATATATTTTATCTCTCAGGGGATGTAATGTATTTCTTGAGACCAAATCCTGCAATCTTTAATTTGTTTATTCAGACAAAAAGCTTGGTGAAGTTAAAGGGAGTTTTGCTTGAATGAAGTGAAGGAAGAAATGCATTATCTGGACTCTGAAAAATCAAAGGACTACATTGTCCACTATGTATCAGAGGGGTAGCCGTGTTAGTCTGTATCCACAAAAACAACGAGGAGTCTGGTGGCACTTTAAAGACTAACAGATATTATTTGGGCATAAGCTTTTGTGGGTAAAAAACCCACTTCTTCAGTTGCATGGAGTGAAAATTGCAGATACAGGCATAAATATATATTGGCACATGAAGAGAAGGGAGTTACCTTACAAGTGGAGAACCAGTGTTGAAGGCCAATTCAGTCAGGGTGGATGTGGTCCACTCCCAATAATTGATGAGGAGGTGTTGATCATTGATGATGCGCTGGAGAGGTTTTAGCCAGGAGCTGTACGTGATGGCCAGTGGGGTTCTGTTATTTTCCTTGTTCGGCCTGTTCTGTAGTAGGTGACTTCTGGGTACCCATCTAACTCTGTCAAACTGTTTCCTCACTTTCCCAGGTGGGTATTGTAGTCACCTACTACAGGACAGGCCCAACAAGGAAAATACACCACTGGCCATCACGTACAGCCCTCGGCTAAAATCTCTCCAGCACATCATCAGTGATCTACAACCTATCATGGAAAATGATCCCCCACTCTCACAGGCCTTGGGAGGCAGGCCAATCCTTGCTTACAGACAGCCCCCGAACCTGAAGCAAATACTCACCAGCAACTACACACCACACCACAGAAACACTAACCCAGGAACCAATCCCTGTAACAAATCCCTGTAACAAACCCCATCTACTCTAGCGACACCATCATAGGACCCAACCACACCATCCACACTATCAGGGGCTCATTCACCTGTACATCTACTAATGTCAAAGATGCCGTCATGTGCCAGCAATGCCCCTCTGCCATGTACATTTGGCCAAACCAGACAGTCTCTACGTAAAAGGATAAATGGACACAAATCGGACATCAAGAATGGTAACATACAAAAGCCAGTAGGAGAACACTTCAATCTCCCTGGACATTCAATAACAGATTTAAAAGTAGCCATCCTTCAACAAAAAAACAGACTTCAAAGAGAAACTGCAGAGCTACAATTCATTTGCAAACTTAACACCATTAATTTGGGCTTGAATAGGGACTGGGAGTGGCTGGCTCACTACAAAAGCAATTTTCCCTTTCTTGGTATTGACACCTCCTCATCAATTATTGGGAGTGGACCACATCCACCCTGACTGAATTGGCCTTCAACACTGGTTCTCCACTTGTAAGGTAACTCCTTTCTCTTCATGTGCCAATATATATTTATGCTTGTATCTGCAATTTTCACTCCATGCATCTGAAGAAGTGTGTTTTTTACCCACAAAAGCTTATGCCCAAATATATCTGTTAGTCTTTAAGGTGCCACCGGACTCCTCGTTGTTATTGTCCACTATGTGTGGAGAAAACTCAGGCATAGTATGTGAAATGCCATGAACTGCCCAAAGATGGAATTTCTTTGGAATTATCCTATTTAGGGAGCAGGGATTACCCAGCTGCAGACTTGACTTGGATTCTGCTCCTTAAATTTACAGAGTTGTTGAGCCCTACAGAGGCTCTGGCTATCTATGCAGGAGCCTTGTGACTCTACACTGCTTCTGGACCCCATGGCATGATGAGTTCGGAAAAAACCAAGTTCCCACAGACTGGCCTATTTTGCCATTTCCTCCCCTGCTTTACAGCTTTGCTCCAAAGGGTGAGGGAGGGAAAAGGGGAGGAGACATTCAGTATGTAGTGACTCACATCATACAGCTTTATTATGCTGAATTCATTAGTATTATAGTGCATTGGTGTGCTCTGCTAGGATACGAGAAAAGAACAAGAGCTTCCAAAGGATGCAGAGAAAAGGGGGTTGAAGTTGTACTCTTTTATCCCTCCAAAGAAGATGTGCTGGGTCTGAGTCTTCTGAACTTTTGGAGCTGAGAACTATCCAGCCCTAAATAATTATGCAATTAAAGGGCAGAATCTAACTGCAACACTTTATCTCAAATAATGAAATACTGATATCAAATTGTATTTTTTGTGCTTGCTACTTACTGAATGGAATTGTAACTAGAGAAGGAGATGAGGCCTCCAAAGGCAAGGGAGAAAGAGTAGAACACCTGGGCTCCAGCATCCAGCCATGTGACTGGGTTAGCCAATTCAGTAACCTGAAGTATCAGACAAAAAGCTTCGTGAATGTATAATATGACATCTTATGTTGTATAATATTACAGCTTATGCTGAATATCAGAAAGTCATACTAGTGACTGGAACAAGATCATTGGAGATGATGGTACATAGTTAATTCTCACTCTTAAAACATGGACAGCAAACAAAATGAGTGCTTTTATAAACTTCTTTTCTTTGTGTTTCTTATGTGTTAAAATTAAATATAAGTAGTTTTTTAAACAAATATATAAAAAGACAAGATTATGCAAATAATCGTCTTCCTGTAGGTGATAGTAGGTTCCTTATCTCTTTCCTCCAAAAAGTGTTTAAGTTGTACCACTTAATACTGATTGATCAACAGATAAACCCTGATATCTTGGCTTCCCATGGCAGCTGAACACTTCTTTTAGTGAGAAACTGCTCTGAAAATAAACCATTTTAATACAGATATCTGGACAGAAAATTCCAAGATAGGACTATAATCCCATCCTACGTCCACCATTTATGTTTCAAACTCAGGCTGAGTGCTTTCTACTGGTAGAGTATGGAAGCATTCTAGAAGCAGAATGTAGTCGGAGGTGAGAAAACAGTTCACATTGTTCTGGAATTATCCCTCTGGCCCATTCAGGAGTTCAACAACATAATTTGAGGGGAGCATATATTCTTTCATGTCTGAAAGAATAATCAGCATGATATGGTGATTGGTTTGAGACCGTAATTACCACTACAACAGAAGACCCAAATGGCTAGCATGCAATTATTAACAATTTCCTAATGTGTTCCACTGGGAGCTGCGGGAAATGGTGGCCTGGCCTGCGCCGCTTCCCGCAGCTCCCATTGGCCGGGAACGGTGAACTGCAGCCACTGGGAGCTGCAAGCAGCTGTACCTGCGGACGCTCAGATAAACAAAGGGTCTCGCAGCCTGCCAGGGGCTTATCTTGAACAAGCCGCGAACCAAGTTTGGGAACCATTGCTCTAATGCAAAGAAGGGCTCTACCATCCAACTCAAGCCTTAAGGAAATGGCTTTTAGGATGCCTGAAGGATAGTCAGAATACATACTGATGGAAGGGGTTTATTTTCTACTTGTCATTAATGATACAGATATCTACTTAATGGCCTCATTCACAGACAAAAGAATCCAATCACTTACATTGGGAGTGAAGAGATATACAATTCCATTGACTGACCCTTTCAATGTCAAGCCACGGATCAGGAAAATGGTAAGCACAACATAAGGAAGAGTTGATGTTACATACACTGCCTGGAGAAGGAACATATAAATATTTAAAAGTATGAGATAAATACTGTTTCTTGAAAAATAAAGAAATGAGAGAAGAAAACAATGAAATGTGAAACAACAGATAAACAATAGAAAAGAGTGTCAAATTGGTCATGATTAACATACTGTTGGAACTCTTATGTTTGAGAAATGCAGTACACATGTATATTTTGAGTTATTAATATATATATTTTGAGTCAGTGCTCAACTTAAGACAAGCTGTAACTCTTCAGCATTCAAGTCAGGTCATTCTGTCATGACCGCTAACTATGAAAAAAAAATCTACAACCTGATGTCTGATTATTACTGTTGCTATTACAAAAATTTGGGAGCGACTGAATGCTCAACATTTTTAAAAATCAGGGTACTTATTTAAGTGCTTACCTATGCACTTAGGAGCCTAACTTTATGTACCGGTACTCATTTTTGAAAACCTTGGATTTGGTATTTAGATAGTAAGTATTGAGGGATGAGCACAAACCCAAATAAGGATAGACACACATGATTTGAGAATGGTCATACCAAAAAGATCAGTCTATTGGATCTTTCATTAAGACATCTTAAAGGTAAATAAGATACAGAATGAGAGAAAGGTTTGTTGAGATCATGGAGCTGGATCCAACTGAATCCACACATAAATTGAATCCCCATTCATCCTGCTTCCCTGTTCAAAAGGATTGCTGAGATTGCTGGGGGGAGGGATAGCTCAGTGGTTTGAGCATTGGCCTGCTAAACCCAGCGTTGTGAGTTGTGAGGCGGGATCTGGGGCAAAAATCTGTCTGGGGATTGGTCCTGCTTTGAGCAGAGGATTGGACCAGATGACCTCCTGAGGTCCCTTCCAATCCTGACATTCTATGATTCTATGATTTTTTAAAAAATTGATATTAGCAATAGGATTACTTTTGTTTATGAAATATGTAGCTTTTATAATATGGCTAGTTTCACATGTCCTCCTGTATAAATAGGGAATCACAATAGAATTTGTATATCTCACGCTCATATAAAACAAAATGTAGTACCTTTCCTGTTGTTTCAATGCCTCTGATTGTGCACACATATAGTACTCCCCAGGCACATGTTAAACACAGTAAAAGCCACCACTGTATGGTGCCTGAATCATCAATGGAAGTGGAAATATTTAAAGTTTCTCTATACCAGAAATAATCTACGGGAGAACTCTTGGCACACTCTTCTACGTAACCTGTAACCATAAAAAGATGGTCATTCAGTAAATTTATTATAGATATGTAAAATAATTATACACCAATGGTCTAATTCTATCCTAAATTACAGAACTGTAATCCCACTGAAATTTGATTGGTAAGTCTCAGAACCTCTTAGAACCTGGTTTCATGGGAAACTGATAGATTCTTACAGAAGGTGGCCAGCCTAATGGCAATTCTCATGGAGAATTTGTTGTTTTATTAAACCCACCCTATATATGAAATCTGTGAAGCTGAACAGGAGGAAGACTCTTGTATATGAGTTTCCTTTCCCACCTTTTATTGACTAGCTATGAGGGGGTTATGGTGGCTTGGGGAGAAAAAAGTGGGGAGGGAAGTTATGAAAACAGGTACAATTTCTACAGGATGTATTTTGGCTTCTTTTTTTTCCAAATAAAAGAGATGTATGCGTGGGTGTTCTTCAGGGAGAGCTTCCTTCTCCAAACTCAATTAAAAAAAAAATCTTTGGGCCTTCCATTGTTTTTATCTTGCAAGACATCTTGTCTGAGAATTCCCTTCTGGAATGTCCTTGAAGCAAGAGTCCCTATTGCCATTAATTGTCCTCTTTCTTATCAATATAAAGGGCACAATTCTAGAGTTGGAGCAATGTACAGGTGGATCTACTGATTGTTGATCTCTCTGCATGAACAGGTAAGTTTGGCTAAATGTTAATGTATATATTTAGGAACAAAGAAAATAATGATATGATAGGGGACTCTATCCTGGGAAGTAGTGACTCTGATAAAGATTTGGGGGTCATGGTGGATAATCAGCTGAACGTGAGCTCCCAGTACAACACTGTGGCCAGAAAGATGAATGCAATCCTTGGATGCGTACACAGGGGAATCTTGAGGAGGAGTAGAGAGGTTTGTATTTGTATTTGGCACTGGTGCATCAGCTGCTGGAATATTGTGTCCAGTTTTGGTGTCCACAGTTCAAGAAGGATGTTGAGAAAGGTTCAGGGAAGAGCCACAAGAATGATTAAAGGATTAGAAAATATGCTTTATAGTGATAGACTGAAGGAGCTCAAGATTTAGCTTAATAAAGAGAATAAAGGGTGACTTGATTACAGTCTATAAGTATCTACTTGGGGAAAAATATTTAATAATGGGCTCTTCCGTCTAGCAGAGAAAGGTATAATACGATCCAATAGCTGGAAATTGAAGCTAGACAAATTCAGACTGGAAATAAGGCATACATTTTTAATGGTTAGAGTAATTAATCATTGGAACAATTTAGCAATGGTTGTGGTGGATTCTCTCTCACAGAACATTTTAAAATCAAGATTAAATGTTTTTCTAAAACAGACGCTCTAGGAATTATTTTGGGGAATTTCTGGGACCTGTGTTATACAGAGTGCTTCCTGACACAGGGCAGCTGGCACCAGTACTCAAGGTCAGGAAGACCTGACTCTAGAGGAGAAGCAATGCATTGGACTCACAGTCCAAGATATGCCAGGCTGATGGCCACCAGGCCGCAATGGTGGAAAATGAACTAGGCAACAGGACAAGTTCCCAGGAGCTGAAACAGAGGGTGAACAAGTCCTGCGGTTCCTGACAGAGCACTCTGGAAAGCGCAGCCAGACATGATTAATGTAACAGACAATCAGGAAGTTACAGGAGGTGAAAGTCACTGTGGATGGACAACACATACTGGAGCAGAAAGGCAGCACTTTGCTTCCACTTCAGATTCAGCTGCCACTTCAAATCCTTCAGCAAACAGAAAAGCTGCAGGAGCAACTGCAGGAGATCTGGGCCAATAGCAACATCTCCACCAAGTCCAGCAACTGCTGTTGGAGGTTGAGTTAAAATGGGAGATGAAGAAAGAGGCTGCTAAAGAAGCAACTTGGGAGTCTGAAGACGGCGAAGCCACACAAGACCTCCCAGCTTCAGGAAGAGCTGAATAAGCTCACCAATAAACTGAAGCATAAGCTTAAGCAGCTACAGTTGGAGAAGGAAGCTTTTTACAATGATAGCAGGACCAAAATCAATGAGCTTCAACAAAGGACAGATGACGAGCTGAAACCTCTGCAACTCCACAATCAGAAACTGCAACAGCTATACCATCTCTCTCTGGTGTGTGCAAAGCCAGCAGAAGCAGCATGAAGTGGCTCTGCAAGCCCTCCAGGACCAGATCTGGACATTGAAGATGCAGGAGATGAAGCTGCTAAGGGACCAGAACACAGTGCAAAGCCTAGAACTGCAATAGCGGCAGAATGAGGAGGCGATTGTGAGACAACACCTAACTGCAGGAATCCTCCTAAGTCAAGGGCCCCCTCCTGTAGCAAGTTAAGGATCTGAAAGGACTAAAATGGTGGTCCAGGAGAGAGAAGAGCTGTGTGAAGTGGGCATGAACATGGACATTGAGATGGAAAACATGGTAACTGTTTACTAAGGGGCTTGCATCCCCACATAGTGCAGGAACATGGATTCACCACTCAGCGAAGGACTTATAATCAATACCAGCCAATACAGAATTGACTATAGAAGCTGCAGTATTGGTGGTAGCCTCTACAGCTACCCAAGCAAACCCAACTCCTCATGAACAAGGTTAGAAGACAACCTTAGAAAACATGGTTGCTACAGCCCACTGGGCAAAGTAGAAATCATAGAAGAATCATAGAAGATTAGGGTTCAAAGAGACTTCAGGTGGTCATCTAGTCCAACCCCCTGCTCAAAGCAGGACTAACTCCAATTAAATCATCCCAGCCAGGGCTTTGTCAAGCCAGGCCTGAAAAACCTCTAAGGATGGAGATTCCACTACCTCCCAAGGTAACCCATTCCAGTGCTTCACCACCCTCCTAGTGAAATAGTTTTTCCTAATATCCAACCTAGACCTCCCCCACTGCAACTTGAGACCATTGCTCCTTGTTCTGTCATCTGCCACCACTGAGAACATCTTAGCTCCATCCTTTTTGGAACCCCCCCTTCAGGTAGTTGAAGGCTGCTATCAAATCCCCCCTCACTCTTCTCTTCTGCAGACTAATAAGCCCAGTTCCCTCGGCCTCTCCTCATAAATCATGTGCCCCAGCCCCCTAATAATTTTTGTTGCCCTCCGCTGGACTCTCTCCAATTTGTCCACATCCTTTCTGTAGCGGGGGGCCCAAAATTGGAAGCAATACTCCAGGTGTGGCCTCACCAGTGCTGAATAGAGGGGAATAATCACTTTCTTCAATCTGCTGGCAATGCTCCTAGTAATGCAGCCCAATATGCCATCAGCCTTCTTGGCAACAAGGGCACACCCTTGACTCATATCTAGCTTCTCATCCACTGTAATCCCAAGGTCCTTTTCTGCAGAACGGAGGCTTAGCCAGTCGGTCCCCAGCCAGTAACAGTGAATGGGATTCTTCCGTCCTAAGTGCAGGACTCTGCACTTGTCCTTGTTGAGCCTCATCAGATTTCTTTTGGCCCAATCCTCCAATTTGTTTAGGTCACTCTGTACCCTATCCCTATCCTCCAGCGTATCTACCTCTCCCCCCATCTTATTGTCATCCGCAAACTTACTGAGGGTGCAATCCATCCCGTCATCCAGATCATTAATGAAGATGTTGAACAAAACTGTTCCCAGGACCGACCCCTGGGGCACTCCACTTGATCCTGGCTGCCAACTAGACATCGAGCTGTTGATCACTACCCATTGAGCCCGACGATTCTATCCACCTTATAATCCATTCATCCAATCCATAATTCTTTAACTTGCTGGCAAGACTACTATGGGAGACCGTTATCAAAAGCTTTGCAAAAGTCAAGGTATATAACATCCACCGCTTTTCCCATATCCACAAAGCCAGTTATCTCATCATAGAAGGCAATCAAGGTGGTCAGGCATGACTTGCCCTTGGTGAATCCATGTTGACTGTTCCTGATCATCTTCCTCTCCTCCAAGTGCTTCAAAATGGATTCCTCAAGGACCTGCTCCATGATTTTTCCAGGGACTGAGGTGAGGCTGACCAGATTCTCCTTCTTCCCTTTTTAAAAGATGGGCACTATATTTGACTTTTTCCAATCGTCCGGGACCTCCCCCGATTGCCATGAGTTTTCAAAGATAATGGCCAATGGCTCTGCAATCACATCAGCGAACTCCCTCGGCACCCTCAGATGCATTGCATCCAACCCCATGGACTTGGGCATGTGCAGCTTTTCTAAATAGTCCTTAACCTGTTCTTTCACCACTGAGGGCTACTTACCTTCTCCCCATACAGTGCTGCCCAGTGCAGCAGTTTGGGAGCTGACCTTGTCTGTGAAGACTGAGGCAAAAAAAGCATTGAGTACTTCACCTTTTTCCACATCATCTGTCACTAGGTTGCCTGCCCCCTTCAATAAAGGTCCCACACTTTCCCTGAACTTCTTCTTGTTGCTACCATACCTATAGAAACCCTTCTTGTTACCCTTCACATCCCTTGCTAGCTGCAACTTTAATTGTGATTTGGCCTTCCTGATTACACCCCTGCATGCTCGAGCAATATTTTTATACTCATCCTTAGTCATCTGTCCAAGTTTCTACTTCTTGTAAGCTTCCTTTTTGTGTCTAAGCTCACCAAAGATTTCTCTGTTAAGCCAAACTGGTCGCCTGTCATATTTGCTGTTCTTTCTGCACATTGGGATGGTTTGTTCCTGCACCCTCAATAAGGCTTCTTTAAAATACAGCCAGCTCTCCTGAACTCCTTTCCCCCTCATATTAGCCTCCCAGGGGATCCTGCCTATCAGTTCCCTGAGGGAGTCAAAGTCTGCTTTTCTGAAGTCCAGGGTCCGTATTCTGCTGCTCTCCTTTCTTCCTTGTGTCAGGATCCTGAATTCGACCATCTCATGATCACTGCTGCCCAGGTTGCCACCCACTTCTACTTCCCCTACCAATTCTTCCCGGTTTGTGAGCAGCAGGTCAAGAGGAGCACGGCCCCTAGTTGGTTCCTCCAGCACTTGTACCAGGAAGTTGTCCCCAACACTCTCCAAAAACTTCCTGCATTGTCTGTGCACTGCTGTATTACTCTTCCAGCAGATGTCAGCGTGATTGAAGTCCCCCATTAGAACCAGGGCCTGTGATCTGGAAACTTCAGTTAGTTGTCCGAAGAAAGCCTCGTCTACCTCATCCTTCTGATTTGGTGGTCTATAGCACACGCCCACCACAACATCACCCCCTTGTTGCTCTTGTCGCTAAACTTAACCCAAAGACTCTCAACAGGCTTTTCTCCAGTTTTATACTGAAGCTCTGAGCAATCATACCACTCTCTTGCATACAGTGCAACTCCTCCACCTTTTCTCCCCTGCCTGTCCTTCCTGAACAGTTTATATCCATCCATGACAGTGCTCCAGTCATGTTAGTTACCCCACCAAGTCTCTGTTATTCCAATCACATCATAGTTCCTTGACTGTGCCAGGACTTCCAATTCTCTCTGTTTGATTCCCAGGCTTCTTGCGCTCATGTACAGGCACCTAAGATAACTAGCTGATTGCCCTACTTTCTCATTATGAATCAGGAAGCCTCCACTTCTGTACCCTCTACCTTGTGTTTCCTCCCAGTATCCCACTTCCTCACTTACCTCAGGTCTTAGCTCTCCATCCCCCAGCGAACCTAGTTTAAAGCCCTCCTCACTAGGTTAGCAAGCCTGCCTGTGAAGATGCTCTTCCCTCTCTTTGTTTGGTGGATCCCATCTCTTCCTAGCAATCCTTCTTCCTGGAACAACATCCTATGGTCGAAGAATCCAAAGCCCTCTCTCCAACACCACCTGCATAACCACACATTTACTTCCACAATTCGATGGTCCTACCTGAGCCTTTCCCTTCAACAGGGAGGATGGACGCGAACACGACTTGCACCTCAAACTCCTTTATCCTTCTTCCTAGAACCACATAGTTTGCAGTGACCCGTTCAAAGTAATTCTTGGCAGTATCATTGGTGCTCACGTGGAGAAGTAGGAAGGGGTAGTTGGCCAAGGGATTGATAAGTATCGGCAGACACTCCGTCACATCCTGAATTCTAGCTCCAGGCAAGCAGCATACGTCTCAAGTCTGGATGGCAGATGGATGAGTCTAAGGGAGTCCCCGACCACTACCATCCATCTCCTCCTCTTGGGAGTGGTGGTCGTGGAACCCTTCATCCCTAGGACAATGTATCACATGCCTTTCAGTCAGTGGGGTCTCCTTCTGATCATGGCACAACTCAGTGCACCACAGGACCAAAATGTGGGTAGCCTTGAAGGAACTAAAGAAAATACACTCCTCAAGAGACTGTACCCTGGCTCAAGCCATGAAACAAAAGCAAGAGTTAGCCGGCCTGATGATAAAAGCAAATGACAGTTGCTGTTATTGAAGAATCTGAGGGAGCCCCATGAAAAATCCTTCAACAGTCCCATGGTATCAAGACCCAAGGTAAGAGAATTGAACTCCTAGAGGGTGAGAGGCAGCCCTCAAGAGGGGATTGAGTCCCAGGAAATGTCAGACAACACAGGACAGATGGGGTGAGGCAGTGCCTCAAACCCCTGAAAGGGAAAGCTGCCAGGCTGGTGAGGAAGAAAGTCATCCCCAGAAAGGAGCTGAAGTACAAGAGGAAGGACTGAGACAGAGATTTTGGAAACAGCAGTACAAGACCCTAATCAAAGTGGAGCTAAAAAGAAGTCTAGCTTAAAGGTAAATTGGGACCCTTCAAGGGAGGAGAGTAAAAGTGATTCTCCAATGGATAACATCACACATGAAGTGATGTGGATCCAAGAGACTCAGAAATGGGCTAAGCTGTTACTGAAGGCTGTAGGAAAAAAGATTAGATTGGTAATAATGAGAAACCCCAAGGGAGAATTAGGCTAGATATAAGACAACCTTAACTCCAAAGGATGTGCCTGAAAATGTATCCTGGAAGGCTGTGTCTGAGAAGATCAAGAAGCAGCCTGACTCAAGTTTGCTAATGGTCAGAGACTAATGCTGTTAATTATCTCTGGCAATACGAAATATACAACTTGTTTTGAATTATGATGTACAAAAGACTATAAGGGAGTTTGTTTGCCACACAACCAACGTAGGACTTTGTGAATATGACTTGCAATATTGTTGTACTTCAGTGATGAGAATAGAAGAATGGTTAAATGATTTGCAGACTTCCTTGAGGCAGTCAAACAAGAAGGACCTCCCTGGCTGGAAGAAATGATTGAGAGGTGACCTATGTCAGCAGTCCTGGAGAAGGTGCTTAATAAGGTCACCCTGGTTGAGCCCATTTAGACATAGGCAAATACTTAATCTTGCCTTGGGAAGGGCAATGTTCATTTTTTAAAACGGGGTGGCTGGTCCCTAGGGGAGTGGGGGTCAGGCACCCAGCTTACCTGGGACAGGATCTGCTAAGGAGAGTGACCCAACCCAGATCCACCTGCAGATAGTTAATTGCCCAAGTAGCTGGGAAGCAGTTAATTAGGTAAGAAATACTTGGGTCTAATAAAGGCTCGTGAGGGCTTAGTCAAGAAACCAGGGTAACAGAAGCTCCTGAGGTGAGAGACTTCTCAGGGGGAGCTGGTTAGGAAGCTATTCCAAGTGATTTCTACCTGGAGAGCAGAGGCTTATGGAGAGAGGAACAGGCAAGGGACAGGAACAGCCCCGGAGAACAAACTGAGTGTGGAACCTCCTTGGGAGCTACCAGTGACTTGCTCAACAAAGGGGAAAGAGTGGAAGCCAGCTGAAAACCCAGCAGAGGCCCAAGCTTCAGGCAGGAAATTCAGACTGAGAGTGTTCCATGGCTAGAAAGGCAAGACATAAGATTGATTAAACCAGAGGTGGAGAGTTCCCAGTGGAGCAGCTGACTGAAGCTTTCATTTATGTTTTCCTTTTTCTGTTACAATAAATGAGACCATCAGAAGAGGTTTCTCCTTAATACTAGAAAGGCCTGCTTGGTCTTATACCCAGATGGGGAGAAACTGAGGCAGGGTCTCACCTGCGACACCATGCCTGACTGCAAAGGGGAGTGCTTCCACTTCTGTACTACTTCATACATTCATGGTCAGTGTTCATCAGCCATTAGTCTTTCCATGTAGTGGGGCAATATTTCAGCATTTGTTGTTGATTCAAGGCAATCTGTTCTGAGATCAACACCCAGAATTCGATCTTTCATAATTGTCTAACCTAAATATCATTCTGGTCTGGACTACCAGAATATGCAGCTCTTTTATATTTGTGCCACATACATTTTGTCATTAGTGGTTACTATTTTCTGAAATAGTGCAGTTGAAAAGTTATATCTAACATGTCTCACCTCACTGAGATGTATTTATATGTCACAAAATGTTACAGCCTCCTCTCATATTTTAGATAAATAATTTCCAACCTGTTCTCTTCTCTGACACAACGGCCTAAAGGTTTTAGATGGTCATTTCCCATTTGAAAGCTCCTAGATACTTTTGAAAATCTCAGACACAGTGTTAAAAGTTGTTAAAAGAAAACTATCAATTTCACTTGTGATAGAAATCTTCAGTTTCAAAGATGATGCTTAATTAATTTTCATCTGTTTTTGAGTCTGTTTATACTGAGTGGGGCTCTTTATAACTTTAAAATTTGATTGTGCTAGTGTGAGGAAAATGGGTACACTCTATCTTTACAGACCATGAAACATACAAAAGCATTATTGAACTGTATCTTTTTTAACTTACCAAGATTTTTTTATGGTGCCAATAATCTACAAAGTGCTCCTGAATGCTAATGTTTGCACTGGATCTTGTAGTTTTACAAATACGTGTATTTTCCTATATATACGGTATCAACTCTCTCTTAGTGGCTCCAGTTCTAAAGAGGTTACAATGTGTCAGTTATTTCATCTAAAGGCTGGAATAATAACTCCAGAACACAGATTGCATGTAAGATGTCAAAGTGTATAGTGAATACTCTTCTGCAAAACTGAAATATTAAAATATCAAAATGCTCCCTGATAAAGTTAGAGAGACAAGGTGGGTGAGTTAGTATCTTTTATTGGAGCAACTTCTGTTGGTGAGAGAGAACAAGCTTTCCGTCTCACCAACAGAAGTTGGTCCAATAAAAGACATTACCTCACACCCACCTTGTCTCTCTAACATCCTGGGACTGACATGGCTGCAACTACACTGCATACAACCCTGATAAAGCTGGTATGATAGGTTATTTTTATACAAAAAAGTTCTTATTGAATTAATTGTTAATGACAAAGTGTTTTGCAAATTAAAATACTATTTCATAATCCGTACCAGTTCTGTTAGCATTGAGTGGGCAGTCACTCCAAGGCAACGGCTCCTGGAAGGAGTTGAAGAAATACCACATCACCCAGGCAATGATAGTGTTATAGTATAAACCCACCAGGAAGGATACAAGCATTGCTGCTATACCTGAAGAAAAAGGGAAAAAGATTATAATATGCAGCTTTTAGTTGTTTTTAAAGGAATGTTAAAATATATCAACAAAAATATAAGACGTTATAAAGCTAAGCCACCAGACTGATCTCAGTCAACTATATGAATGCTGTGAAAATTTGTATCTTAACAATGTAAATTAATAGGTTTTTTAATGGATATAGATGAGCACAATAATTCTTGTATTCTAGACACAAAGTAACACATATTATACAAACAACCTCTCCATATAAACAACATTAGGGTTACAAAGGCAACTGCAATTCGGCATTCCCTAACTTTTGTATGCTTGACTTTATAACCTTAACATTCTTTTAACATAAACTTAGGGTTTTCTAAATGTAATTTTCTAACAAGCAAACAAAAACCAAATTCCATTATTTTTTTAATCATATTGATCCCACATGGGTAATCAGCAGGTTTGGGACATTTAGATGGACAGCACAGTCTTCTACCACTCAACCTAATGGAGAACTTTTAGCAGAAGTAGGCCGTTATCCTCTATGTGGCCAGCTAGTAGGGGAGAGGTGAGATACTCATTTAGGTTTATAGGTATTTGCTAGACAGCAGAAGAATGTTGAGACTTGGGTATCCTGGGTTTAATTACATGTTCTGGAGGAGCATGTGCTCCAATGGTTATAAATCTTCTGTCCCTATCCCCAAGATCTTTCCTACCTCCCTCTGCTGTTATACCATTCCCAACCTAGTCTATTTGCTTATGTCCCTATCTTCCCCTCTGCTCCTCATCCCCTCTTTGAGTCCAAGAACATACTTCTCCTCCTTCATGGAGCCTGGCATCAGCAGGGAGAGCACTGAGATCAAAGGAAGAGTGAACGTAAGAACGGTCATACTGGGTCAGACCAAAGGTCCATCAAGCCCAGTATCCTGTCCTCTGACAGTGGCCAATGGCAGGTGCCCCAAAGGGAATAAACAGACAGGTTATCATCAAGTGATCCATGCCCTGTCACCCAATCCCAGCTTCTGGCAAACAGAGGCTAGGTATACCATACTTGCCCATCCTGGCTAATAGGTCCATCAATGGCTATCTTCCATGAATCTATCTAGCTCCCTTTTGAACCCAGTTATAGTATTGGCCTTCACAACACCCTCTGGCAAGGAGTTCCAGAGGTTGACAGTGCGTTGCGTGGAAAAAATACTTTCTTGTGTTTGTTTTAAATCTGCTACCTATTAATTTCATTTGGTGGCCCCTTGTTCTTGGATTATAAGAAGGAGTAAATAACACTTCCTTATTTACTTTCTCTATACCACTCATGATTTTATAGACCTCCCTTAGTCGCCTATTTTCCAAGCTGAAAAGTCCCAGTCTTATTAATCTCTCCTCATACAGAAGCCGTTCTATACCCCTAATCATTTTTGTTGCCCTTTTCTGAACCTTTTCCAATTCCAATATATCTTTTTTGAGATGGGGCGACTGAACGCAGTATTCAAGATGTGGGCATACCATGGATTTATATAGAGGCAATATGATATTTTCTGTCTTATTATCTATCCCTTTCTTGATGATTCCCAACATTCTGTTTGCTTTTTTGACTGCTGCTGCACATTGAGTGGATGATTTTGGAGAACTATCCACAATGACTCCAAGATCTCTTTCTTGAGTGGTAACAGCTAATTTAGACCCCCATCATTGTATATGTATAGTTAGAATTATGTTTTCCAATGTGCATTACTTTGCATTTATCAACATTAAATTTCATCTGCCATTTTGTTGCCAAGTCACCCAGTTTTGTGAGATCCTTCTGTAGCTCTTCGCAGTCTGCCTGGGATTTAACTATCTTGAGTAGTTTTGTATAATCTGCAAATTTTGCCACCTCCCTGTTTACCCCTTTTCCAGATGGTTTATGAGTATGTTAAATGTGAGTCTCCCTGATCTCAGTTCTGGTTGTTGATGCCACATTGGCTCTGGGCCGCTGAGAGGAGCATTTCCAGGTAAAATCACGGGGATAGTAGAGCTTCTTAAAATCATTTCATTTTGATTTCTGAGATCAAAATTACATCTTTTCCCCTACACTCATTCTGTGAGAGAGCTGACCATTTTAGCTGAAACTTTCAAAAAAAAATTCAGTCTGAGGCAGACACCTGGCATGAAAGCTACCAACTCTGCATGTAACAACAAACACTAGAAAATGGCAGCACTGTATGTTGCATTTTCACCAAACACTTGTTTAACCCTCTTTATCACCCAAAGATAATTGAGTAGATTGTGATTCAGACTATATACCCATTCAGGGGAGTAACCCCCAGCTCACACTCGGGCCATCTGGACCTTGGATATAGGTGAGTAGTAGTAGCAAAGTTATTTCCTTGTTTATTCTCTGCCGTAGAGTAGGTGAGCAGTGACTGGGTGGGAAATGGACAGAGTGGTTGGAGCCTGGGTTCTGACCCCCCCACCTTGCTGAGCCAATGCAGATGTGGTTAGATGTTGATAGATGTTTGGCTGCGTGTATGTGTTCCCTCTGTGTGCTGCCCCAACCCTGCGCAGACAGCTAGCACAGCAGACCTCGAGCGAACCACCCAATGACTACAAAATATGATGAGGGACGAAGGCAGCCAGCCAGGTTTATTGTCAACAAAGCATGGTACTAGTATCCTTCAGACTCTACTGGACCACTAATAAATTTATGCCTGTAACAATGGACCAGTTCAGTGAATGGCGGGACTTTCCATTCCTCCCTAGGCCAGACAAAGATACTCCCTGTGAAATACATGTTTATACCCTGATACAAACAAGTTATGTACTGCCTCTGACATAGTTAGTTATTGCTCCATGATGTGGCTAGTTATCACCGTTACCTTGTACATGTTGGTTCGATCAAAACATCTCTATTACGTATTGTCATCCTGACTTTATCTTTTAGGAGGGTTCAGTGTGTCCCTATTATCCTTGGGAATGTGTATTTCTGCAATATTAGCTCTGTTCTTGCCAGATTCTGTGAGCAGGTCCTGCCTCATACCAGGCCTCTAATACAAGGGTTTATGTCTCAGACTCTCTTCCTACTACAGCAGAATGGGGTAGAAATTTAATGATGGTATGCAGGCTAGCAATAATTTTTCTACACCCCCCTGGGAGCAAGAAGGAAGCAGGAGAGAAAAATTCCAAGGTATGTCTCTGAGTCACAATACTTCCTGAAGGCAGTTTATGCACCACTACTGGTTTAGATCTAAAGATTTTGCCTGAAGACAAAAATCTAGCTCTAAATGTTGAAAACATAGGGCCAGATTCTGATAATCTTATTCATATTGACTAATACCTTACTTCACAAGTGGGCTCACTGACTTCAAACTAAAGTAAAAGAACCATTTGGCATTAAGGAAATTATACAAATTTTTAAAATAAAATCATAACTTTTAATAGGATTTGAACTCAGTACTTTGTATATAAAACAAATATTTTAAGTAACTAAACTGAACTGATTTTTGTTAATATGCATTAGAATGTCAAGATCCAGTGTTTAACGCATGCTGGGCATATGCAGCTTTAGAATACATTCTTCCCTTGGTGAGCATGCAACTCCCATTAGCAGAGATGTATCTCTGCAATAGTTTAGAAGGAAAATTTTGTACTCCACTGAGCTGTACTGACAGCAGGAAGAAATTAGTTTTTACAAAAATTAAAGATATGATATTGTAGTGACTTTAGCTGTGTCCCATGCTGATAGCCCTGAGAACTAAAAGCCTCTTCCTGGAGAACAGGTACAGCATGGATAACAGCAGTAGTACAAGCTTCCTCACCAATGTGCCTTATCAACATTTTTGACAGTTTCTGGGCTGAACAAATAATTCTAACTCCATGAATTCAATCTTTGGCTTCTGGTGAGACTACCAGCATGGGTGCAGAATAGTCCAACTATGAGAGTATTTTTTGTGGGTCCACTAGTATCCACATTGACACCACAGAATTACTAGGTCATCAGATAGCTGCCAGATAGTAATTAGTGACTCTGGATCACTACTGACCTGGGCTAGATTCAAACCAGTTACCTACAGATAAAAGGCTTCTCTATATTTATTACCCAGCCTTGAAGCTGGGAATATCATTACAAAGTTATTCATTATGTAAAAAGTCACCATCTATAAAGTGTGAAGATTTACCTGTGGATTGTATCTCTCTGTAAACACACACTACTAGTGAGAAATTAGCATACTAATGCATTCATAAAAAGTAACATATGTCGCTAAATCTTCAAATTGTTGTAGAAGTTTTGCATTTGCAGTCATTTTGTTCATGGCAGGTTTTGAGCGAGACTATTTAGCCACAGTCCTGAGCAATGGGTGGTGCATAAGCTACACCATCCAAGGAGTCACTGTGCATAACAGATACCTTTCTGGGACATAGAAATTTGCTGACAGTATAGGCAACAGCAAATTATGATAGCCCTGCACTGGCTCAGATGAGAAGCAGGAGGGCAAAACACTTGTACACCCAGACCCAACTGCCCGGTAGCATGCACAGAGATCTTACCATCCCTGTGCATGGTCCAAGTCACAATGTAGCCTTTTATTTAAAGAAGTCGGGAACTCTCTGAAGACATCCAGAATATTTCTCAATGAGAATTAGGCCCTATATTTTTAACGCTCTTTGACTGCACTGTTTAGAGGATATCTCTTGCAGGAAGTTTACCAAGATATATCTGTTGAAAGCAGATTGCTTTCCTTTTCATTAGTTCCAATGAACAAGAAAATGTTGAAATCGTAGACCCAGCACCTAAAATGACTTCTTGTTTTAAATTTGTGACCAGCTAGGGAGTTTGTCCTGCTAGGGTGTTAGCTTGGCTTTCAATGAAAGTTTTCTGGGTCATTAGGGCAAGTGTGGGATGGCTGTAGGATTGAGATGCTGGGACTGACATTTGTGTTGTTGTGACTGCTGGAGGATGTTGACATTCTCACTGATTATGAAATGGGAAATGTACAGAATAATAAAAATATGCACTTCTAGGAAGATTTGGAAAATATTAATTGCAGCTCTTTACCACCTCTGCAGTTCTGCCTGTTTACCACCAATAGGGACTGCTATTGTGGGGCTTTGACTTTAAACAGGGAGTCTCCTCAGCCACTTTGCCCCTGCAACTGGACCTGAAGCTGGCACTACTACTTACAATCATACTCATGGAAACTCTGCCTTTAACCAGGGTCAGCTGAGCCTCAGCACCTGGGCTGAGATCATACCTTCACACTTCTGAGTTCGTTTGCTCAATATTGTCATGTTTGTGTTTTAATGGGATGAGTGTAAAGTGGTGCTGATAGTGGATTAATGGTGTTGAGAGATTTAGACAGGGAGAAGGAGTAAGTTATGGTTAAAGTGGTTTCTCTTTTTGTGGTGAGAGGCCAGCAAAGGAAAAATCATTTAAAGAATCCCCTGGTGAGTGTGTGCCTATGGGCTAGTCTCTGTGGCAGGCAGACTGATTATAGATAAGTAGGATTAGAAATGTGAGCAGTTTGTGGGTGAGAGTCTGACAGTTGATAGATGGTGGATTGAAAGGGTTTGTACCATTGTGTGACCACCCCTTGGGGTTAGAGGACAGTCTTGAATTCTTCTCTCTGCCACTTCCAGGACAGTGGAACTGATGAGGATGCAGAGACTATGGGAGTTGGTGGAACTTTGATTTCCTTCTTCATCTAGCCACAGTAGAAGGGTGGCTAATGAGAGAAGAAAGACATAATTGGTACAGAAAAGTGGGGAATCTTGTTTTGAGAGGAACAGAACACTAGGGTGTGGGAGGCCCTGAGGTGTGAGACAGCTAGTTGGTGTGAATCAGTGGGTGAGTGTTTTAGAAAGAGTTTGATTATGGCTTTGCAGCCAGCTTTAGGGATCACTTTTTGGGAACTCAGCTGCATCCTTTCAATGGTCACTATTAAGTTGCCAAGAGTTATTAAGTTGCTATTAGTGTTGCCATATGCAGGGAATATGGAGTCCCAAGGAGGTGGGAAAAAGAGGAGAAGGTGTTATGGCTGTGAGGGCTTGGGCTCTTTGATCCCTGAGGTGACTGACAAGGCTATAAAAATAAGACATTTGCAAGAAGGAGGGGTAAACCAGGAATGAGATGTTTAATCTTAGCAGTAGGTGAAACCAACAGAACTATTTATCAGGCAATTGAGTTTTCATGAGACAAGGATCATAATTATTAACACAGTGACTTGCGGGAACAAGGGCCTCATCACCTTTACTAAAGTTTTAGCCATTAGTATTTATTGAGGTACTGGAAGCGGTGAGAGAACTTTGTGCCACCACCTGTGCTTTGGACTTTTGCCCTTCCGAGATGTTGAAGGTCAGGGGGAAGTACTGGGTCATTTTCTGGTGGAGACTAAAGACAGTAGCCTGCCTATTGCTTTGAAGGAGGTCAGCACTTGTTCATGACAATCAGTCCACTTCTTCCATTTCTCAGTAAGATTCTGCATAAGGCTATAGTAAGATCGCTCCTCACAGTATCTGGGTGTACTGGATCTCCTTACTCCTTGTCAATGAGGGTATAGACCAGGTTTTGACACAGACTATATGGGTCATGCTGGACATGAGCTTTTCCTGGTGATGGATGATGGATGAAGCTCAGATGACCATGCTGGTATTATTAGATCTCTTCAGTGTCTTCAATACCATTGATCACAAGGTATTGTTCACTTGTCTACAGACCTTTTCAAAAGTGAACAGGACTGCTCTTCAGGGGGTTCATTCTTTTCTCAGACATCTCACTGGGTAGTTGTGGGCAATTGCTCTTCTTCCTGAAGAGCTCTCAAATATGGGGTGCCACAGGAAGCCTCTCTGCCTCCCCTCCTGTTCAATGTGTATACAAGGCTGCATGGAGGGGTAATAAGGAGGCATAAGGTCCAGTGATTTCATTATGCTGACCACATCCAATTGTATGTCTCTATCTCATCCAACACACAAGAAGCCATTCAATGTCTCAGACAGTATTTAGCTGAGATTGGGGTATGGATGAGATCGAGCTGTCTGAAACTCAACACAGATAAGACTGAGGTGAGGAGGGGATTTGGGAGAAGCAGTTAGAAGAGATGGGAGAGGTAATATCAGACCCTCTGACAGAGAGCGTGTGTCCACCTTTAGTTATCATGGATCACAGCTGAAAGGTAATTTTGGACCCCCCCCTCCCAGCTGCAGTTAGGGGATTACCCTGGGTCTGTATTGGAGCAGACGGGCGTGTCTGGCTCAGCAAGACAGGGTGCTGGGGTCCCGAGCTGGCAGGGAAAGCAGGGGTAGAAGTAGTCTTGGCACATCAGGTGGCAGCTCCCAAGAGGGTTTCTGTGATCCAACCCGTCACAAGGTCAATAGGGATTTTTTTCCCTTTGTGATTAAAGAGAGGAGGCTGCCAGCAGGACATTATTTGTGAGTGGCTTTGGGACACTAGAATTTACCCCTCCCCCTTTTTTCTTGGTCCAACATAACCCAAATTTGGTGGGGGGGTTTTCCTGGGCACAAAGCAAAAGCCATTTATTTCCTAGGGTTTTGAAGAAGGTTAAGCGGTCGTTTCCAGAGACAATGGAGGGAACTTTTTTATAGCTTATAATTGGCTGGGTGAGCTGAATTAATTTGTTCCTTTTTTAATTGAAATGGGAGGTTGTTTGTTTTTTAATGCTCCTGGGTGTATTATATTGTTGTGTAAAAAGATTATCAGGGAACCTAGAGCTCTTGTGCAGGCATTTTTTAATTTGGACTTCAGTCTCCCTGGCTGTTAATCTAGTGCTTTTCACAAGTAATAAGAGAGAAAAAATGTGTATACTTATTAATTAGGGCTGTCAAGCGATTAAACAAATTAATCAATTATACAATAATAGAATACCATTTATTTAAATATTTTTGGATGTTTTCTATATTTTCAAATATTTATTTCAATTACAACACAGAATACAAAGTATACAGTGCTCACTTTATTTTTGATTACAAGTATTTGCACTGTTAAAAAACAAAAGAAATAGTATTTTTCAATTCACCTAATACAAGTGCAATCTCTTTATCATGAAAGTTGAACTTACAAATGTAGAATTAGGTAAAAAAAAAACTGCATTCAAAAATAACACAATGCAAAATTTTAGAGCCTGCAAGTCCACTCAGTCCCACTTCAGCCAATCGCTCAGACAAACAAGTTTGGTTACAATTTGCAGGAGATAATGTTGCCCACTTCTTGTTTACAATGTCACCTGAAAGTGAGAACAGGCGTTCACAGGGCACTGTTGTAGCCGGCATTGCAAAGTATTTACCTGACAGATATGCTAAATATTCATATGCCGCTTAATGCTTCAACCACCATTCCAGAGGATACGCATATATACTTTGTATTCTGTGTTGTAATTGAAATCAATATATTTGAAAATGTAGAAAACATACACAAATATTTAATACATTTCAATTGATATTCTATTGTTTAACAGTGCGATTAATCATGATTAATTTTTTTAATTGTGATTAATTTTTTTGAGTTAATCGTGTGAGTTAACTGCGACTAATTGACAGCCATATTATTAATGTATACAATGTTGTATACCAATCACTACTTATGACTGACAGATATGGAGATTGAACTCCTCCATCTATACCAGGGGTTCTCAAATGGGGGTTGGCACCCCTTAGGGGGTCATGAGGTTATTACATGGGGGGTCACGAGCTGTAAGCCTCCACCCCAAACCCCGCTTTGCCTCCAGTATTTATAATGGTGTTAAATATACAAAAAAGTGTTTTTAATTTATAAGGGGGGGGGGTCACACTCAGAGGCTTGCTATTTGAAAGGGGTCACCAGTACAAAATTTTAAGAACCACTGATCTATACTCAAAATAACTACAACACAGGTTGTTGGCACACTTAAAAAAGTTAATTCCAATTCTAGAGAGCAATTGTTCTAGCCATATTCCTCATTTTCAGAGATATTCCCTGTCACCTGTAATCTCTCTAAAACCAGGGTGCAGTTTTTAAGTGTGCCCACTGTTCCTGTGCACTGGGAATGGGACATCAAATAGTTATCAGATGGTAATAGCTTTTGATCACTACTAACCTGGGCTGCATTCAGGTGGACAATGTAGAAGTTAGTCTCTGAACTCATAATTCATCCCCTGAGACATTCATTCTGCTCCAAAGTAAAACAATAAAGCCTAAATGGCAAAATTAATAATGTGGGCTTTTGTGCATTCTGTCTGGTTTAGTTGTAAGCTTCCTGAGACTTACCTACTCCCTTCAGGGTAGGATGGATAGAACTCCAGACTCCCACACTACCTTTTCTCAGTCTTTGACCAATGGCAAACTCAAGATGAAGCAGTGGGATACCTTCCAGGACAAGCAAAATGAGAAAAGGTATCATAAAGGCTCCTGAAATAAAAATAAAAATATTTCATACATGTGAAATATGAAGAAGCAGGAATTTCAGTTTTACACAGGAATGATGAAGCTATATGGAAATTATACAGAAGGAAAACAAGATGTAAAAGTCTTTGTAGAGAACATTTTTCTCTGAACAGTGTTTTTGACTAATCTTATTTTTGATAACTGATACCATGAGACCAACCAATTTGGCCTGGCTGCCAGTCCTGTCCAACATCATACCCCTTTTGACATCAGGCAATAGGTCACTTTGTCGAATCTGCTCCTTAATGTGCAAAACATGCCACATCTACCCCATTTAAAGATGTGCTTAATCCACTCATCCACTGTTTTAGCTCCAAGAATCCCTGTAAGACACTTCTTCTAAAAAATCTGTCTGAGGATTGGTCCTGCTTTGAGCAGGGGGTTGGACTAGATGACCTCCTGAGGTCCCTTCTAACCCTGATATTCTATTCTATGAAGCTTTCAAGCCACAGAGAACTCTTCTTCAGGTCTGGGAAAGGTACTCCCAGCATCAGCAAAATGCACTAAAGAAGAGCACTCTGTGGCTTGGAAGCTTGTCTCTCTCATCAACAGAAGTTGGTCCAATAAAATATATTACTTCAACCACCTTGTCTATCCTGGAACCAAAACAGGTACAACTACACTGCATGATTTAAGCATAATCACTATCCTGATATTTATTATATAGATTCTGGATTGGAAATAAGAGACGCATAGTAGATAAAAATGTGTAAATACAAACTGATATGTGCTCAGAGCTATGGGTGAAACTCTGACCATATTACTCAAAAAACACTGATATGTGAACTCCATTATAAATCCCTGCCTATCAAAGGGCAGATTACAGTATAAATTCTTGTGCCCATGTGTCACCTACATTCTTTCATTTTAGACAGTTTTTTCTTCAAAAGTGAAGAATTTCACTGTAGCACCTTCTCTGTCTGGAAATAAATGTTAGAGACAACAAGAAGGGGTTTTACAAATATGTCAGACAAAAAAGAAAGATCAGGGATGGTGTGGGGAAGGTGAGCTGACAATAGAAGATAAGAAGGCAGAGTTGTTCAAGGCCTACTTTGCTTCAGTCTTCATACAGAAAATAACATGTGACTGGACGACTAGTAAAATTATCATAGACAATAAAGGGGAAGGAATGCAGATCAGGATAAGTAAAGAACATGTCAGAGATCTTCTGGCTAATCTGAATGAATTCAAATCAGCAGGGCCTGAGGCTATTCACCCCCAGGGTGCTGAAGGAATTAGCTGAAGAAATCTCTAAGCCACTGACAATATTTGTATACTCGTGGAGGACAGGTGAGGTCCTGGAAGACTGGGGAAGGGCTAATGTAGTGCCCATCTTTAAAAGGGGGAAAAGGAGGAATCAGGGAACTATAGAACAATCAGCTTGTCCTTGATACCCAGGAAACTACTCGAGCAATGTATGAAAGTAACATTCAGTTTGCAAATACGTGGAGGATGAAGGGGTGATCACTAGCAGCCAGCATGGATTTACCAAGAAAAAACCATGACAAACCAGATTGATTTCCTTCTTTGACAAGGTAACTGGTTTGGTGGATAGGGGGAATGTGGACATAATATACTTGAACTTTAGCAAGGCTTTTGAAATTCTCATAAGTAAGCTGGAGAAATGTGGGCTCAGTAGAATAATAGAATCATAGACTTTAAGGTCAGAAGGGACCATTATGATCGTTATGGCACAACGCAGGCCACAGAATCTCACCCATCCACTCCTGTAACAAACCCCTAACCTATATCTGAGCTACTGAAGTCCTCAAATCGTGGTTTAAAGACTTCAGGGTGCAGAGAATCCTCCAGCAAGTGACCCGTTCCCCACACTGCAGAGGAAGGTGAAAAACCCCCAGGGTCTCTGCCAATCTGTCCTGGAGGAAAATTCCTTCCTGACCCCAAATATGGCACTCAGCTAAACCCTGAGCATGTGGGCAAAACTCACCAGCCAGACACAGGAAAGAATTCTCTGTAGTAACTCAGATCCCACCCCATCTAACATTCCATCACAGGCCATTGGGCATATTTACCACTAATAGTCAAAGAGCCTAATTTTGGCAATTAATTGAGATCCCATTATACCATCCCCTCCATAAACTTATCAAGCTTAGTTTTGAAGCCAGATATGTCTTTTGTCCCCACTGCTCCCCTTGGAAGGCTGTTCCAGGACTTCACTCCTCTGATGGTTAGAAACCTTCATCTAATTTCAAGTCTAAACTTCCTGATGGCCAGTTTATATCCATTTGTTCTTGTGTCCACATTGGTACTGAGCTTAAATAATTCCTCTCCCTCCCTGGTATAAATATATCAGAGGGATAAATACAGAGCTATCATATCTCCCCTCAGCCTTCTTTTGGTTAGGCTAAACAAGCCAAACTCTTTGAGTCTCCTTTCATAAGACAGGTTTTCCATTCCTCGGATCATTCTAGTAGCCCTTCTCTGTACCTGTTCCAGTTTAAATTCATCCTTCTTAAACATGGGAGACCAGAACTGCACACAATATTCCACAGGAGGTCTCACCAGTGCCTTGTATTACAGTACTAACACCTTCTTATCTCTACTGGAAATACCTCACCTGATGTATCCCAAGACCGCATTATATACCAGCTCAGAATTGCCTGCTGATTGGCAATCCTGAGCTGTAGCCCCCCCGTACACCTTACGTCCAAACAAGTCCAGTTTTTGGCGTCCTTGGACTTAGGCACTGGGGCTTGTTGCCCCTGGCTCTCCTCATTTACTGCTACAACCACCAATGAACAAGGCTGCAGGTGCGTAAGAGGTATTCATACCCCTTTCATGGAACAAAGTATTTCCTCTCAACTCCCTTGGCAGTGGGAGGGATGGAGGCCGGGGTCTGCCAGATGGTCTTGGCATTGGCCTATATGGTTTTGATGAAGGGCAGAGCCACCCTCGAAGGACCTTCTGGGGCCAAAATGTCAACCATCGGGTCCTCTGACTCCACCACCTCCTTGGCCTGCAGACCCATGTTGCGCGCCACCCTGCAAAGGAGGTCCTGGTGGGCATGGCTGTCTATGGGGGGCGGTCCAGAGATAGAAGTGCCCGCAACAGCATCATCTGGGGAGGAGGATGAGGAGGCTAAAGGGGGAACAGGGTCCTCCTGTCCCTCCTGCTAATCAGGAACCTCTCATCCTGTCTCGCTGGCTGGACCAGGTAGACAAGGGTCCTGCTCAGGAACCGGAGTTGGAGTTGGTTCCATGGGGGGGCAGGGGCACAGCGCCTCCTTGGCATCCCTAGGGGTGGGGCGACTGGCGGAGGCCTCCAGCACCCACGGTTCAGAGGTGGCCAATCGGGAGCCTTTAGATTGGGCGCCCTGCTCCTGGTGGTATGCCAACAGGGTCCAAAATGGCCACTGTGCTGGTCCCTGCCACTGCGCAGGCCACGGCCCTGCCCCCACCTCAGAGCGTCCATGGCTTGACTCCATGGTCAGCCCCACTCTGAGTATCTAGATCCCGCCTCCGAGTCCGAAGACCGGGATCGGGACTGCGAAGGCCAGGGTGGTGCTGAGCGGAGCTGATCCAGAGAGCGGTGCTGCGCTGGGGAGCAATGTCTTGACGCCGGAGAGTGGTGCCATGAGGCTGGAGCGGTACCATGATCTGGAGCTGCGTGGGGTCACTGAGCAGCATCGGGACCAGTGCCAGAACCAAGACCTGCTGCGCGATGGAGATCAACGCGTGGATCAGCGTTGCGAGCGGAAGCACTGGCATGACCTGGAGCAGCACCGCAAGTCTGAGTAGTGCCACAATTCTATCAGCGATGCCACGATTCTATCAGTGGTGCTGAGGGATGGAGCATTGCTGGTTTGCCTTGAGATGGTGCCATACGATGTGGTATTGGAGGCTTGGCGCAAAGAGTGGGTGACCTCAGTGCTGTCATGGTGATGAGGTCACTCGCAGTCTCAAAGGTATCTGGGGTGGATGGCAGCTCCACCTCCTCGATGACCTGGGCTGGGGAGTTTCTGCCAGAGTCCGTCCGCAGTGCTGCTTCCACCACTGTTGCCAGGGAGCTATGCACTGATGAACTTGGCGCCAGGTCTTGCCACGCTGGCAGAGGCTGAGGTCTAAGTGCCACCTCCATAAGGAGCTGCTTGAGGCAAAAGTCTCACTCCTTTTTGGTTCTGGGGCGAAACCCCTTACAAATCCTGCACCGATCAGCTTGGTGAGCCTCCCCCAGACACGTTAGACAAGCATTGTGGGGGGTCATACGTTGGCATAGGCTTGCTGCAGGACTTGCAGGGCTTGAACCCCTGGGACTTGGGCATGAAAGGCCTCCCAAGAAAAAGCAGTCAGGACAGAGGGTAAGCCCCCCAGCCCAACTGCTAACTACTAATACTAACTAACAATTAAACTAACTAATACGTATAGAGAACAACAAACAAACGAAGATAGGGAAACATGGTAGAACTTGCTGAGCAGGACGCCACAGTTCCAACGACCATCACTGGCGGTAAGAAGGAACTGAGGAGGCGCCAGGTCAGCAGGGTCATATATTGAGCGCCATGAAGGCGTCACTCCAGGGGGCTCCACAGCTGACCCAACGGGTGCTGCTAGGGGAAAAACTTTCCGATGATTGTATAAGTGGTGCGCGCACACCTAATTGGAATCGATATGAGCAATCACTAGAAGAAGAACCAAAATTATGTGAGCTAATTGGGTGCAATGAGAATGACTTGTGTTTTGTCATGACAAATCTTTTGTAGAATCTCTGGTAGCAGTGGGATGGGAGTAAAGGTGTTCCTCAGGTGGTCTGTCCAGAATAGAATCAAAGATTATCAGGGTTGGAAGGGACCTCAGGAGGTCATCTAGTCCAACCCCCTGCTCAAAGCAGGACCAACCCCAACTAAATCAGCAGAAGGGCATCATCCATGGAGTCCCAACCTAGTGCTGCTCTGTGGCAGTATAGATCGAACTTCTTGTTCGTCTGTCTGAAGAGCAGGGCCCAGG